TTGTTTTGATTACGTGCTCTGGCGGTGACTTTTATTGACCACATCGAAGTATTCGATGGCCCAGTTTTCTTTGTCCAGCTTCAAAGAACATGTGGTTAGAGACCTGAGACACTACCATTTCACCTTTCTCATCAGTAATCGGAAGTTAAATATGAGCGATCTATGAACAGGCATGCAATTAACTTTCATTCAACAACGTTCTACAGTAAAATAATTACATTTGAACTTTTATGCTCTCTGTATCCTGATTATTTTATATCTCTTCTATCAAGGTTTTCCAGAAAATTGATTTTTAATTTACCTAAAAATCATGTCCCTCCCGATAGAGGAAACATCATTTTACACATAACTGAATCGCCTCTGTGGACTGGTGTTTATTCGTAGTGTTTTGAAGTACTCGTTGCACTGGACGTAATACGAGATGTATGATCCTAAAAGGTTACACTACCACGTAATCTCTCTTCATCGCCACTCACATTATGATGAGTTTAGTGTTATATGTAGGAGGAAAGAAGGGTAATTTGTTAATATTAAAATCGAATGTTTGAAATTCGATTATTCCATTCAGTTGAAATCGCTTGAAACTTTGATATGACGTTCCTATTGTGATGAATGTTGAATGTGATTAGACAGACCAAGATGGTTCTCTAACGGTACACTGGTATTTCAAATTATGAATTGCTGTGAAACGATCCTGTTATTCAGTACAGATGTATCATGTTCACACAACTGTATACTCATCTCTGAATACGACGTCTGAATGGGCATATTTATATCAAATGGATTAATGCAGTTCCATAGACTAACTTGTGCTCAGCCATGTGGTGAATTTGAATGCTTCTGCTCAGTTCCCTGTCTACATGATTATCGGCTAATGACATCTCATCTTTATATTCTCCGACAGTTGAGGCATGTTGGACAGTTGGGATTTATTTCAATACGTTACGCAATAAAGGTAATTTCTGGTTTGCTCCGTTGTCGTTATGCTCCTTCTTCATTTACTAAGAGTTCCAATTCTGGTGTTTAAACAATGATATTTTTTTCGTCCAGTTGTGTTCATTCAATCCTATTATACGTCCATTTTCATTACTGTAATATATTTCAGTTAATTCAGTCGGTTACCTGTACATTCAGAAACATCCAAATTCTGGTTCTAGCCCAATCCATTTGTCCTCAGTGTGATGTCTGTATACGATAGTGATTTTTTTTACATTATCCCACGCCTAATACGTACTCCAAATTTAGTATGTTCACCTGTGCTCATCAAGTTCCGCCTGCCTTAAATTAGGCTATTCTGGATATTATTAGTTAGCGCACAACACTGAATTTCTTCTGACTGTCATACTCGGTTAACGTGATGAATATAACAGCAGCAAAGTGGATCTGTAACACATCTCACACTCTAATTTCAATTAACATGAAATCAAAACTTTCCAGGAGATCGTTTATGTGCCATATTGACTAATCGTAAACAAAGAGAAAACAAGATCAAACAGGGTTCCCTATAGGCTATATTTAACCACTCAAAAGCAGAATAATGCACACTATGTCGAATCATCCAGACCAGTGATCGATAGGTTTCGAATACCACAAAAGACAAAACAAGAATGCCAAAAATCGCTAATCAATGAAAATTAATTTTGATTACGAAAACGTAGAATAATATTTTGGTCCAATAAAGTTCAAATGAACAAAAGATAGTTATTTGCGTACGCAAGATAATTGTCATGATGGGCGGTGTCTGTATTCTGATATTGATAAACGACGACGCTGTGCACTATTCTATCAACCGACTACTCGAGTGCGAACACAAGACAGGACGAGAAGGCACACTCGTCTACTGGATAAAATGTACAAATACCCATATATATATATATATATATATACCCCTTAGGAAACATCGATAAGTCTTTGGTGACTTAAGGTCCTCCATACTCTAAGGATAGAATCCAAAGGATTCGCACGTGAAGATACAAAAACAGTTCAGTCATATGTGAATTTGTTGACATGTGATTTTCTACGCGTTATGTCTTGACAGGAGATATAAAACCAGATTGTCAAAATGTATTCTACACTGTAACGTCCTTCGTTTGTCTACCCACTAATATAGAGAATATAACTTGTTGCAATCTAGATTAAGACCTTAAACGATGGAATGACTGGTTCAAACTCGAGGCTAGAAACACATGAGTTCGAACTGAGACTAACTTCCTTGGGTAGAGAGACGAAGACTATTATGTCACCTGACTGGTTGACAAGAGTGTGAGGAAGAGAAGACGAGTCAACTGGAAGACTACTCATTCTATTCCCGATTCCGGTCCAGATTGGCGCAAAAAATACATGGATAAATAGACGACTAACATGACCACAGCCCACAAACAATTTGAAAAATACGATTATGTCCCAAACTGGGGATTAGGATAGGAAAATAGGGTAGCAAAGGCCACGTTTAAATTATAATTGCTTTGGAACAGAAAAGGGTATGACAGTGAATCATAAATCAGACGGAACTTTATGGCTTACCGAATAAACTAGGAACAAAAATAAATGTTAGTATTTCACAAGCTTTGAATCATGTGAAGTAACGTCCTCAAAAATATTCTCCGTTGTTTGTCATAGCTTCTTTGTTTCTCTATTCACACCATACACAATTAAGTCAACTAGTCTCCTTGTTATATTTTATAAACGAGAATATAAGGTCGACATAGGTGATTAATCAGAGATTTAACTAAATCTCCAAACAGACCCTACTAGTCAGTGTTACTTGGTATTTATGGTTAATTTTAGATTACAGTCCAATGAAATACTTAGTTGTTTGACATGATGCATCATAACGATGTATTAGTGTCCGCAAAACAAGACAGTAAATACTATAAACTATACAGGACGAAACTGGTTGGTTTGTAGCAAGATTTATTCTTACTATCGGATTGTTCGGTGAATTGAATATAAGTATTCAGGAGAGGTTGAGAAGCAATTGAAAAGAATTTGATGTTACGTGTGCAGTTTGTCAACACGAGCTTGATCGGTGTTTGTATAATACTCTCCATTCATTGGTAAGCCAGTCAGAGTCGTATTTGTGACTGATGTCAGCTTTGAACTTGCGAACTGGTATATTTACGTAAATATGGTTCTGTTCGTTCATTTATTTTGTGAAAGGAATCAAATCAATCACAACAGTCAAATAATAAAACATTATAATTCGACTGATTAGACAGACTTTTAATGCTTTTTTTAAATTGAGGTCAGTTGTTTATGAAATCTATTGGAAGCATACATTTATATGAAGTCAACATATGTAAATTAAATCGTTACACAAATATATGTGCAACTGCCATTATTGATGGAAAAGCTGAACCAGATGAACAGCACATCAGGACATGTGTCGACAATAACAAACAAACTTTAATACTTTATTCAAGACCTACCAATTTATAACAACGATATGATATATGTACGCAGATAAATAACTTTGGACGAGATTTTCGAATTTCTAGAGTACAAAAATTCGCTTTGGCAGTGTAAGATATGTATGAATTGGGATATATGAAGGTCCTGAAGTCCATATATATCAATTAGTATCAAACATATTGTGTTTAGTTCAGACTTGATCATAAACACAGTTTTTTCCTTAATCTTCACAATTTCGTACACTTACTATAACTACAAATGTGAACGAAATTAAATAATGCAGTTTGTCCAAATAGAATTGTATTCTTTAAATAGTTAACAACCAATCAGGAGTAAGTGTACAGTGAGTGTGTGTGCATGTACATAATTACGTTCATTTTTGAACCTCAATTATTCTGATATAGTGACGAGAATATGTGACCCATCTGTTTTCAAATTGAACTAGCCAATGAATTACTGAAACTTAGAACAAACATCACATATTTAATACAGTTTTCTTCTGTACAAGATCCATCTGCACTGAATAGTTATCTCAACTCAGAGTTCAGTTAATTGCAAAATATTATATATCTAATTATTAATATCATGTTATTGAATGAATTCGACCGTACAATAGGATCAGTCTAGAAAATCTACGAAATTAACTTGAAATTCAGAATAAATTGAGTCAGAATGAAAAGATAACAGATACAGAGAACATCATTGACCCGAATAAATTGTGGTACAATTTCCTTTTCAATATTCGGTAAGAAGTCTACCGATGTATATTCACTGCATTACTTACACTGACCTATACAAATTAATTTCTTGATCAAAAGTCAGTGGACTTGAATGCTGTCACAAGTATAAAGACCGTTATCATTCCACAGTTGCCAACACCGTGGAAAAGTTCTTCTAGAGGTACATGTAAAGGAGATAGGGTTAGAGTTAGTCTTAGTGACCTGAGTGGGTGACCACAGTACCCAAGGGACAGTTGCTTGGGACAAATCACACACGACCTTTTCGTGGGTGATTTTCGCGTTAGCTCTGTAATTGTTGAAACCTTACCGATAGAAGGAACGAATTGAGCGAAGAAATTTCTTTTCAATTAGTTTTTCATCATGGCTCTACACTAATATATATACGTTTTACAATAATAATATAATACTCATCGAGTGGATACGTTACGTAATAATTACATAATGACATTTAAATTAACATTGATTAGCTGGAAGAAAGAGGATTATTAATATTCAAAGTGATCAAGAGAGAGAGACGGAAATCCGTGGAATAAGGCGAGATGTGTATTTTCAGGGTCAACCTTTTCTAACCTCACTCTTCCTTTATAGGAAGGCAGCATTGCTTTTATACTGGTTTACTGGGGGGAAACACATTGCTGCCGCTTGAGTACGACTTCGCTTTCGAACCTTTAGTTTTCTGATTTTAGTCCTACCACTCTTTAACCAACCTATCTGACATGATAGGACTTTGAGGCACGATTGTTCCAGCAAATCTAGCTCGATTGACTCATCATAATAGCCAAACCCAACCACCACCAAGTCAAGGTAGTAAGTAACGGTTGTGTTAATTCAAAATAAGCACACATACAATTCAAACCATGAAATTTATAACATTTCAATTAAATTTACAAGATAAAACGATAGAACAGATGAGAAAATAAACTGTAATAAGCGGTAAGAATAATTTTTTCAGAAAGAAAAGGAAGAAGAAAATACTGTTGAAAAATACAATACAACATAAAGGGGATAAGCGATAAAATTTTATATGAAACACTATTCACTAACATCGATCCATTTGGATTTGAGCAAATTTTATACAGAACAAGAAAAAAAAAAGAGAAAGATATTCACACTTTAAATGAAAGACTAAATTATTGAATTCTTATTGTACTACATAAAATAACTCATCGTTGGTATGGTCAACAAACACTCAAATCATACATAGTTACACGTGTAATCATCATACCTAAATATGGTTACATCATATATATATATATATATATATATATATACCTTGATATTTCGACAGTATCGGCACTAACCTTTATCATATTCCAATTCATCAATATCATCATTATCATTTTTATCATCATGATTAATCTGAGTAGGTGGTTTACACATTACATTAAAAAATAATTCAATCTGTTGATCTAAGCCTAAATAAGTATCAGACATTAAAAATAATGTTAATTGATAAGATTGTTTCACTTCGATATCATTAATAGTAGTACCATTATTATTACCATTGGTATTACGTAACAATGTTAATGGTAGTGGGAATTTCACAAGTATATTGATAAAATGTTTCCGAGTATTATTCAAAGAGTTCATTTTGTCTTTTTTAAGTATTGTCATTGATTGTGGTGGGACACGTTTCAATGTTAATAAATTACCACCATAATTTTTATTGACTTCACAATTACCCAATAGAAGAAACCAACCTTCGTATGATTTCGATTTGATTAAAGATCCAGTCATAACTGGCTATAAGAGTAAATGAAATAGATAACATATAGAAATAGAGTAAAAATGATTTTAGTTAGGCAATCAACGAAAAAAAACTTAAAGAAATGGAAGACTGTTCCGTTCTAGTATGGGACTTCTTATCAGTGTGCATCTACGACCTAACATCTAACATTTGGAAATGAAAATCGTTGAGTACCGGTTCACTAGTCTAGAGATAAGGTGTACCTCGATAAAATCCGGCATAAAGATGATAAGTATAACGTGCAAAGCAAAATTATTAGAGAATGAGAAGGTAGCAACTGAAGTGACTTCCAAAAATAAGTAAGAAAGAGTGTAAATCGTTCAGTAACCACATATTTACCTTTCACCGAAAACTAAAGTACTATTCACACGTACTGTACTTGAATAATCGTCACATCATCAAGTCAATACGGCGTTCGATTTGTTGGATATGAATCAATTCTACAACGGAATGTTGAAGAAAAGTATGTTTGAACGCTTTATCAAAGTCTGTGAGGTCGTAATACAAAACCGCTTTACGAAGAATGAATCCAGACGAAAAGTTCCTAGATTGTAAATAAACAATAGTAGAGCATATCATGGTTGTCTACCATCGTCATTTCTTCATAATTTCACTAACAATGATATTCTGTAAACGACCTTAAAGTGTGTCAACATTTTTATGCCAGGAAAAAGGTTTTTCAAACCCCAACACACAAGTGAAACTGCTTGATAGTAAAAACAGTGTAACAGGTTTTCGCACACGATTAGTTGTTCCGAAAGTGCTGGTAGTGTGTATTGATAAACGAAATATCACCTTGAAGCATATAGACTGAGTTAGACGAAGAAAATCATCTATCTAATTAATCAGATTATAGAATTTCCAAGTTATGTTAAAAGTAGAAATACTCCTACAGTTGGAAAACAGAAGGATTATAAAAAATTACCTTATTTCCACTTGTCTGATCAATAGAAGATCGTATTAGTTGTATACGAAGAAGATACTCCGTTTCAGCATATACATCTAGACAATTTGAACTTTGTCCAATAGTATTTATTTTAAATACTCTAACTGGCTGAGATAGTTGTGTTGGTGATGATGACGACAATGAGACAGATGGATCAGGACCAACTAAACATGAGTGTATTTCAACAATAGGTAGTTGTCTAACCGCCTAAAAGCAAATAGACAAAACATTTTAAAAATAGAGATTGCTTTCAAAAGAAGTTATTCATTTGTCAAAATCTAATTGATTACTATCATCAGCATTGATTATGTAACATACCAACTAGTAGTGGATAAGATTTGTTAAATTATGTGAATATTTCAACGTGAAGGTATAGAATAAGAACAAGTCAATTAGCGTAGTAATAATAATAATGATAATAGTAACCAGTCGGGGCAAGAAGCGGTTTATATTTTTCTTTAACTGAGTATGACATGTTCAACGTAACATCTTATTCAGCATAACATTATTTTACTTCCAGTGTGACATTTTAATCAGTACGATATTCAGTTTATATTTTTCCACTGTAACATTATTTAAATTCGAGATGTTCTATGTGAATTTTGTTCATTATGATAAGTGTGAAGCATCTCCAAGTGTGACAAGATTATTATTATTATATTATATCTCTCTAACTTCTCAGCTAACTTATTATTAAAATTTTTGGAGTTAATGATGAATTCCTCCTTTCCCCCCCCCAAAAAATAGAGATCTCTAGCCATGAGAAAGTAACCATAAGTGTGATCAAATATAGTTACCGTCAGATTAATGAATTTATGCAAGTTATGAAAATATTAACATCGGAATACTGATAAACAGTTTCTTAAAATCACTGCACTCTTGCAGGTATCACTACTTCATTTCCAAAATAATTTTGATGTATACAAACTGTATGTTCATAGGCTCGTTCAAAAATTGCTTCAAATCTCGTTACCATGATGCGAGCCTCTCAAACTCATTCCCATATTATACACAAATCGTGTTTTTTTTTAAAAAATTGGTATTGAATATTTCGTGCGAGACAGTTTTATTTTAAAGTATATGGTTGTATTCAATTATGGTTGATGAGAATTTGAGGGGAAAACATCTTCAATTTTACACTCATATTAATAATAAGTCTCAGTCAGTCAGTCAGTCAGCTACAACGTAGGACCAGGAACATATGTGCATCGGTCCAGGTTGCCATACCGCATCAGCACACAAGATGAACACCGGATTCATAGCAGTGGTTAGGTCAAAGGTGGTAATATATAAGAGAAAGAATGCATATAGAGATATAGTACAAGAAGAAAAAATTGGTTCGTAGAAAGAAAGGTGTGAAGCGATTTTAATCCCTTAGTTTAAGGGAAGATAGAGAGTGTATAGACCGACGCCATTGTGATCGATTCTGAGCCATGTCACCAAGAGTCTCCAACCATTGGTTACGATAGTCACGCAGACCCCAACCAAGTAGTCTGCATCTACCAACATGGCTCAGACTAGAAGTTAGTGACTTCAAGTACTGATGTCACGTTTTGGTTTGGCCGCCCCTAACTTTCTTCCAACCATCTCCAATACCGGATAGCATTGCACGTCGTGGTAATCGGTATTCAGGCATACGTAACACGTGGCCCAACCATCTCAGTCGATGGAGATTCATAACCTCATCAACTGATTTACCATCATTCCCTAATACCCTGCGTCTAACCTCACTATTACTTACCCGGTGATCCCAGCAGACGCCAGCAATATTTCTGAGGCATCTGTGGTCAAATACTAGTAGCTTACGGGTGTCTTCTACTCTTAATGGCCATGTTTCGCTGCCGTAAATTAAAACAGAACGGACTGTCGCGCAGTATACTCGTCCTTTTATTGATAGACGGATATCTCGCCTTCGCCACAGGTGACGTAAGTTGGCAAAAGCCAAACGAGCTTTTCGAATCCGTGCTGAGATTTCGTCAGACACCAACCCATTAGGGCTGATCAGACTTCCAAGATAAGTGAAGCTGTCAACGCGTTCGACTGCTTCACTCCCTTAATAAGTCTCAACTAAACTAGAGTAAAAAATTTAAAGGAATTAAATCGACTAATTCAAACTATTTACAGTCAAACAATGTGATATAAAGTTGTGAATACAAAAGGATCAGTACTATCTGTTATTTAATGGCTATAGAGTTACGGTCAGCTTGTAATGTTAATGATTAATAAGAGTTGCCCGTGGGTAAAACCACTTTTTCTAATAAAAAAATTATTAAAATAAACTAGGTTCTATATGTTGTGACGGGAGGTACCCAAAATCTGATATTCATACATGGTGTGCTACGCGCGCTAACACCCCAATCGGTTACTTGAGCGAGATTGTATTGGATTACCGAATAAAATGCATAAATACTCATTCATATATAAATATATACCACTCTAATCCTTAGGAAATTGATCAATTTCTTAGCCAATGAAATGCACTTAACGTTTAGATCACTTCTGATTGATTCTCCATATCACTATAGTTACAAAATATTTTGCTAATGTAAAGTTTACATGGGATTTAGATATTGTTTTCTTTTTATGGATTTTTTTTAAACAGAAATTATGTGCACAAATGAGCATTTAACGCTAATAACACATTGAATTATTTAATAAACATAGATTGAATGTAAAGCATGAAATTATACCAAATCAAATGAATATACCTTTTTAACACTATTGATAACATCGGATTCAACATGACCTTGTAGCATGGAATCTAATAGGTTAGGTGAACCAGCCACATAATCAATAAGTTCTGGTAATGAACTTATGTTAGGATTATGATCACATCTGTAAAGTCGTTTGTTATGCAGGAAAGAAGAGAGAGTGAGGTGTAAAGGGGGGGAATGAAATATTCTTTATATCAATCAAATATTAATTCATCGGATTCAAATGAACATAAAAACTATTAAGAGAATTTACATAACATTCAAACAACATTAACCAGTGGATCATTTAAAACTAATGATGAACAATTGACAATTGTTTGTCCTATAGTGAGTTTCATGTGCAGTAATCATCCACAACCTTATCATGGATTAAACTCAGCTTTTCCGTTACACAATCGCCAATTCCATCAATTCGCAATATTAATACCTCACTATCATCCAATTTCATTAATGATAATTATTACAATTTAGAGATTTTTTTATTATTATAAGTAAGGGGTTTTTATCATATAAACATTATACACACTTAACAAGTTAGAGGCTGTGTGGATTCAGTAGCACAGTGATTAATGTGTTGGTGTTGTAAAAGAAAAAATGAATTCACGTAACAATGTGAGCATCGATGGAGGAACATCGGTATATCCATCTGATGAGTTATAAACAGAACAAAACGAAAGTTTTGGATTCTGCGTTGATCAACAATACAACTAGACTAGAAAACAATAGATACGTTTTCATCTCTTTAGTCAGGATTTCCCATTCGTAATTCGGTAATTTATTTCAAAGTTAGAGAATGGTGAATAAACAATTTCTACTCAATCTAGTAAATTGTGAAGATAATTTTATTATGAAGAGATATGAAAGTCTTAAGTTCAGTCTCTGACAGGATTCTGAGTGCACACAGCTAGATTACCTCATAATAAGCCGGGAAAACCATTCGTTGCTCTCCAGTTACCAATGGTTCATAAAATGATGCCAGTCTACAATTAAAACTGCCTTTACATTGAAGGTATCATGATAATTCATTAAATTAAATGATTAAAACGCAAAGTGATTGAAGTTAGAAATGTGGACCATCAATACCCTGATACAGTGGTCTAAAAGTTAGGTGTTGACTATGAAATCTGAGAGTTCTAGCTTCGGTCACTGGTATAAGATGGATTTTTATTTTTGAGCAGTCCCATAACAGGACGAAGCGCCTGACCAATGCTTTCTGTTTTTTTAATGATTGCCTTAAATCAGCTTATGATGTAAATGATTAACAATAAGAGTTGCTCATGGGCAAAAACACTTTAACTGAACTTATAAATGTATTTTCTCAAAATTATTCAAATATACAAAGTTCAGTAGTTACCAAGTATTTCGCCAACCTGAATTTTCGATAGATTTTGTTTTTGACTTCTCTGCTTTTGAAATTGCTTCTACTTGCTTTGTTTCATGATATACTCCTTACTTAAAATTAAGTAGTCTAAACTACGTTAAACAATACGTAAATATTAGGTAGTTTAAGTCTTATTTTATTTGTTATAGTTGTTCTTGCCTCCTTTTCTTTGATTTCTCCACTTGCACTACAATATTGAATTGATGAATTTGTAGGGAAAAATTATTTAATATTTGCTAGCTGTCAGTACTTCATTCAATTTTGCTGTTTGATCGAGTCGCACACTCATACACACCTGGATACCGTCATTTTTTGATTTGACAGGCCATTAGCTCTCTTTCTACTGCAATATTATTCATCAAGTGAGGTAGGTAGCTGGGCATATGAGAAAGACATGCGAACCAGCCACATTAGTGACCCACCTTAATTTCAAAACTCACTCGGTCATTCATAAACACATAACCTGGCATATGAGTACATTCGTTCAAGTTACCATACTTCATTAGAACAGTGAGATGAAATTATTAAGGCGAGCCGACAGAACATTGCAGGTAGTAGCAGTGTTAGTGTTAATGAGCATCGAACATATGATTTAAAAGAATATGAACTGATGAAGAAAAACTTGATAAGGTAGTTTATAAACTAATGATCTCAGGAAATACAAATAATAAGTGCATCTGCGTTATTGAAAAAGATTCTCATTCCAATCACACAGTCTTTAACCATTGGTTAATATGATCGCACAGTTGCCAACCAATTAGTTTGTACCTACCAACACGTTTCAGTAAACTATAAAAAAATCTACTATACGTGATCCTAAAAATCATATCTAGTTCATTATTAGATTCCTGGATTATTGTAGAAAAATATAAGCATATTTCCAACTACCTGAAATAATCCAAATGTTCACTGGTTATTTTCGGTAACTGTAAAATACTACTGGCGTATTCTTCAACCCATAAGCCTTGTGTAATCATTTGCATTAAAATTATACAATTTAAACTTGTACGAAGCCAACCACATTCAGCACTAACGTCCAACATTGCCTATAAATCGTTTAATATAAAGTAAACAAACGAAAAAACAGGTCATATAAGAATACCAAAAGAAATATCGCCTTATAGTATCTCACCTACACTTGATTATGTATATATTTGATTTTGTTAAGCCCTTCAATTAAATTATTTAACTGAAAGTGTTATCAGAATAGAGTAACAATCCGTGCATATTATTGAAACTATGATCCGATCAATGTTAGGTCACCACTGAAAACTCGGGAGCACTGGACGACCATTTCGTCCTAGTATGGGGACACCTCAGCAATGCGCATCTACGATCCTGCACGAGGGTCTAACATTGACCAGTTCATGATTTCAAGGAAGGTCAACAATCTCCACAACCCTAAACTGAAAATTTGTAAATAACTTTTCAGCACTATATTTGTATGAGCATGTATGGTGCTGTGCTGTATAACAATAAAATGTAGCCAACGATTCGCATTGTCTTCTGAAATTTAGACACTATTGGTAGTTATTTAATAACGGTTATCAAGACGAGTGATATATGAAGCTTCTGGAATTATTTCAAAGATAATCCACTACAACCTAACGTCCAAAGAATATCTAACATCAATAACCAATATTTATTTTTAAAGGAGTTTGCTGTAGGAGTCAACGAATTTGATGTTTCCAATCACGGACTGATCTTAGTTAGATAACCATTGAAAGATAGCAATTATGAGCTAGCTGTCATATGATACCAATATGCATCCACAAACTTGGCAGGTTATTATGGTACAACTACCAACCACTGTTATATTTTGTTTCATCCATGACATGGTTGAACAACAGTAGTCATAGCTTTGTACTGGAATGCCAACAATTACCTCTTAAAAATATTCGCTAGTAATAGCATAAAATGAAACTAGTAGTAAATAAAACAGTTTGTTTATCAAATAAATTTGAATTAACTGACTTTAGTTATTATCAGGTTTATCTCTTTTTTCAACTCATAACGACAAGACATCCAGTAGTTGATGTATTCGAACTTGCGTGAAATACACTCCTCAATATAAATACTAAAATTATATCTAAGAACTCAGATGTAGGGAGAAAACCTGACCCTAGTATAATGAGAGTTATTTCGTGATGACCAAATTCTCTCGATAAATTAGCAATGTGGTAACTTGTCTAAGTCACCAGATATCATATGCATTATTTAGAGATTTTAGATGGCTGAAAATCATAGACAGGAAACCCTGGGTATATGTATCATAATAGATTTTATTCATTGGCAAGGAAATCTGGTAGTCTTTACGGGATGAAATATTTGTGCAGGATACGAAACCGCGTTACACAGCTTCATGGTCTTAGATGTTACAACTGAGTTTTTCAGGTCACGATTGACCTTCTGTAGAACTGCGATACACTTAGATTATATGAACTATAGGAATATAATACTGGTTAATACTGAGTGATGAATGAATTATATTCGACTAAAATAAACAATTCTTAAAATTCCCAAGAAGAGTTTGATATGACGTGACAAAATAAATAATACAACTCACTTGTAATATTCGAATAGCTTGATCTAAAATCGATTGTGTATCTGTACGATAATCAATAATCGGCAATTCTTTAATACGAGAAAAATGAGCTTGAAATAATAAATGTGCTTTTGTATGTGGAGAATTCATTGGACCGATAGGTGGTAAAGGCAATTCATTGGCTAATAGTTTATTCATTTCATCCTCATTATGTCGTACAGGTAATAGGAAGTATTCATGTGCACTCTTTTAAGAAGCAACAACAGAGTATATATACATTACTTTACACACTGTTAAATGAAACATCGTATTGCATATACCAAAGGTTATAGATTTATAGGTTTGCTGCTACAACGCTTGTTACAGACATCTTAACTTCAGACTAATTTGTACACATGAAGTTGAGTAAAAGCTTTACACCAAGGTTAATAAATGTACAGAAAATTGAGTCTAATTACATGGTTTAATATGAGACCATGATTTATGGACGACCTTTGAGGGACACTAAAGTGGCCTTGAGAGTCTTCATCTAATAACTAGGACCAAATGAAGATTATAAACCTGCGTGAGGAACTAGAATTATGATTTACAGTTGACGGTTAAGTTTAGGAATTAGATTTCGGGTTTTCGTCACGAACTGATATCAGTCATAATGCCAAAATAGTATTGCGCTAAATGGATGAATGAATTTCGCGTCAAAATCTAAGACCTGTTATCTCTTACCTGATTGACTCATTTATAAATTATAGCCTCGCCGAGTTTAATATGATTTTGGTCTTCTAGGGATTTTTGTACAAAATATGAAATATAGTAACGATATAAGTAATTACTCGATCGAAATGTGACACAATTCTTCATTTATCTAGATGCATTTAGGAAGCTTCTATTCAATACTGATTGTGTAAAATGTCTCTAGCACTGGTCTTCAACTATAGAGACTTTGTCGATAGATTTTTGCTGAGAATTTCCACTACGTAATCCGACCGTACCTAATACATTGACACGGTGATCGGGTTCGCATACGGTGATGAGAAAATCAAGCCATGTCGGTTGAAAAATTTGTTTCCTAAAGTTGCTATCATGATGTACAAGTCAGCTGGAGAATGGGCAGACTAAAAGCAGCAAGGCCTAAAAGTGAAGTCGCATTGCTGACTGTAATTGGCTGTGATGACAGTATAGTGTCTCCTTTACACAATCAATATCTACAGTGATACTGCTTTTCGAAAAAATTACAAAAATGTTAGAAAGGATTACTCCTATAAATAACTTACATTTCTCTCTCTTACTGATTTCTGTCGTTGGCAGTAAGGTATTAAAAATATAGCTAACATATCGAGAGCCACTCACAAAGAGGCCGTATGTGACCGGCCTGATGCATTTGGCTCCAGCACTACGTGGTCACGCTCATACGTTGCCAAGATCAGATCTTACTAAGGGCATGTTCAGCTCCATCATATTCTTCCATCATGTGGCCCATAAACATCGACCAGAAATCAAGATCATATTATTCATCAGTGACATTTGTGTGAAATAGCCGCCGATATTAAGTGGTCATTCATAACCAACATAAGACCTGATAAGAATGTGCATCGATTAAAGCTTTTGTGCCTCATATCAGCTCAACGAATGAGGAAATTGAGATGGGAAGCAACGAATTACAAATGGGAACTTAGACATTAGATTATTAAATACCTTAAATCGGTTGTGATTTGGGTAATAGGTTCGGTTGGGCATATGGTAGTTTTTTACTGTATAGGATTGAGATTTCTTTTATTACGAAAACGATAGTACGACTACTAAAATACATGACAACACTTAGTAACTTTAATAATCGATATTGCTATTAAGAGATAAAAAGGTGGAACTTTCAGGATGTTCCGAACAGAAGTTGGAGTTCTAACGAAAAGCTGTGACCAATTGAGTTCAACCATGTCGAGTATGAAGCAGTTACCCACCGAAAATAATAGAAAATAATCGCGCGATATCGTGAGGTGGTTGAAGTTGGACACTAACATCATTGGATGCCGGTTCAGTGGTTAAGCGATCGCGCAAGACCAAAGGTCCGGGGTTTGATTCCCGCGTGAGGGATCATGGATGAGCACTGCTGAGGAGTCCGCAAACTAGAAAGGAACGGCCGTCCAGTGCTCCCAGGTTTTCACTGGTGACCTAACACCGATCGTTTCATGATCAAAATTAAATCTCAACAATTTCCGCAACCCTATAAAGATAAGACGTCGAGAAGTTAAAAATTGACGACTATATATACGGGGCAACATAAAATGACATTAGGATAGGAAAATTAGCAAACTAAGAGTGGTGATAACCAAACAGAAAACACCAAAGATTGAGCGGATGTGTTATTGCGGTTATTGTTACATGAAAGAAGTTTACATTTATTTACGGACATTCAACAATTTAAGGTCTATTTAGCACCTTTGTACTGAAAAAACCCATACTATAATAAAAAGATTTTATCCAAATAATATGTATGAATTTCCGTAGTGAAAACTAGGGATGGAAGTTTCCTTGACTTTTATTTCCTATTCCTTAGATTCACTGGATAAAACGATGATCAATAAAATTTGAGTCATACTAGCTCGACAATAACTTGATAGCAGTTGACAGACACAACTGGGAGGTGAACTGATAAGGTTTTAAAATAAAGTATGCCTTCAATAGTTTTTTTTACCAAAAGTCGAATTCTAATGTGTTAAGTGGTGAAAAATGGACTGTCCTCTCCCAAAATGACCACTTTAGAAAACAAATCTCCTAAAAGGTGCCCACAAACTTACTGATAATATTCTCAATAAATCATGGATACTCGATGTTGACTGAATTGTTGTGGTAAATAATTTCATAGTTAAGTGTGATAAATAATAATATGACGCCAAACGACCAAGAGTAGTTGGTATCAGTACATACTGATTGTGATCAGTTTGATCATATTGTAAACATGAAGAATCTCGTAACTGGTCACATGCATTTGTAATAAGCCCAGATAAGAAATTATTCACCGATTTTGTATCGCAACTTTCTAGACCGTAATAACTGAAAAAAATCGTCAAGACGAGAATAAGAAAAACTGGATGAAAGACTATAATTTGTATGGAACATCTTATATTAGTTGCTGAGATAATTAGAAGTAATGTGGCATCAGTCCATGAAATTACTGACTGTTGGTCTGAGACATTTTGATATATTTAGACCACCTGGTTGAAGTGTCTTACTGTTGTGATCAATGGCTGGAGATGTTGAATGATATATCTCAGAATCTGTTGTAGTGGCATGGATCCATTTATGTCACTTTTTTTCATAACTTCAGTATCAATCATACCTTTAACTTTGAGACGATCACTGACATTACTACAAATTCTACTATCATGGTATTCATCTTCTTTACTTCATCTAGCCGTGTATGGAGAGTTGGGTTAATGCACAGTGCTACCAAATTTTATGACTAACCGACCGTTTGTTCATCTTTTATAATGAATCACTAGTAGGTGTTAAAATTTAAAAGCCAGTTCAACAGTGATGATTCAATATGCGATTTCCTGGAATACACTGAATACAAAGATTGCAATCTGGGAAAGATATCAACGTGGAAATCTTTGCACGTCTAATGTTAGATAATATAATGAGATAAAATGAACAAAAGCTTTATATTCTGGCATTACTGAGCACTACACACACAGTCACCATCAAACAATCTAGCATAAGATATTTAAATGTGGATTTCAGCAAAATACCTTCACACTACGGAGCTGAAGTACATTAGTCAATTTTTCTTGAAATATCAACACATTAAAAATGATTCCTTATTGATATCCATCTAATTATTGTTAAACATAGATTAATAGTGTGATTTTACAATCAAGTTGTAATGTATTCATACTGATTACAAATAATCTGTAAATGATTTGTAGCGATGAAAAATGATTTTATTATAGTTGGGTTCTTTGATTAGAATAGCTTGGATCTTGAAGTTTTCGTTGTCTGCATTCTACGGAATGAGGTTGCTGACCGCATATCTAACCCTCCTTTACTTAGGTTTAGGACCAGCAGTAACCCTAGAAGAGTTACAAGCACAGTAGCTTGACATCCTGAAGAGAAAGTTAGGAAATGACTCTGGAGGTGGATAAGACATACACTTAGTAAACCTTAAAATCAGTTCACGAGGCAGTCCCTAGCATGAAGTCCTGAAGGTAAAAGAAAAAGATGAAAACCAAGGAACACGTTGCATCGAGAATTGGAAGCAAGCATCAAAGAACAAATAGCAGCTGGAAAGGATTGCCCAGGACAGATTTCGGTGGAGAATACTAGTAGGCGGTCTATGCTCCTCCACAAGAAGTAACAGGTAAGTAATGTGCGACGAATACATAACTAATCTATTCAACTACACTTAAACAAATAATTACATAAATGAATGATAGAAAATTAGAAAAATCAAACTAAAGTACCATGGATTTGAGTATAATCGTCGAAAAAAGAATGTCCACGTTAAATAATCTAAAGCTTCTTGCATAGTCGTTATTGTACCAGCTACTATTTCCGCATTCAAATGATCTGGCAGTACATGTAGTAAATAACTTTCTACAGGAAATGGTTCATATAGAAATCTTTTATAAAACGTTTTCTTTGAATTTTGCACCATAATTACAGCTTTGCCTCGATCATCGAATTGTGGACGTCCAGCACGTCCCATCATTTGAAGAACATCTGTAAAATAATTAATGTAGAAATTATGTATAATGTAATCATATCATTCATGACTACTTCATAATGTCAAGTGATCAAAGGTAGTTGGCAAAAAACTCTTTGTGGTATATCCAGATCGTGAATGGTTTCATATACAACTCAGACATTCATAGCTGACTGACCACTGAATAGAGTAGTCAGTGTCATGTTTGCATAATCCTGTAATGCTAGTCGATTTCTGTGAATCCAATTATCAAAACCCCATAAATCTCAAAATTTCATCCATTGAACTGAGGAACAATTGGACTTCACTTTAAAAATATTTAAATGAAAAGCAAGAGATTATTAAAACCCATAGAGTAATGTTTTGCTGTAAGTTAAAAAGGATGCGTGCTGAGTACCTATGTCGATAAAAACACAAAGACAACCGTCATAGTGAAGATCAGTCTCAGATAAAATATAAAATATTTTTTTCTTTAACAAGATGTTACAACTTCATCTACGGTATTGTGACGAGGTAATTACTGAATGGTTAGACAATATGGCTTTTAAACCATGGTTCTCAAGTTCGAACCTCACCTGATCCACATCAGTTTGGGAAATCAGGTAGCCTTTAAAAAAAACGTTTTAAAGCTAGGTACACAAGAATATACTTGGTAAATGAAATGCATGATCGTCCACTAGTTTTATATCAATTACATACAGTAAATGGTGGATATATTCTATCAAGAAAAAATATAGTTTACTTGAAAAAAAGTTGATTTTAGTGATTACGCCTTGGCTACAAGATCTTAAGGCCTTAATTTCGATCCCTGACTGGGTCAAAAGTGTGTAGCACTGAAGAGTCCCATATAAAGACGAAACAGCTGTTTAGTGCCACACAGTTTTAACCTTATCCAAATTGTTATCAACCTGTGTTGAGTACAACTTAAAGAAATTAGAGCTAAAGCCATGTTACGATATTATCTACACAAAAATAATGAGAATTAATTACCAGTAATTGGATAATCCACATAGGTTTTTGTTTTCCCGTCATAATATTCGGTACCTTTGACAATGACCAAATGAGCTGGGAAATTGACACCCCAAGCTAATGTTGAAGTAGCGATTAAAATCTATAATGGAAGAAAATAAATCAATGAGGTCCAACGTGTAAGGGATGCTAATGAGGTAAAAAGTGAAGAAATTGTGATGAATATGGTTTATTTGTATCACGATTTTAACGAAGCTAGATAATAATTGAAAGCCGGGGAGCACTGGGTAGCTATTTCGTTGGGATTCCTAAGAAGTCTGAATCCAAGACTCTATTAGGGGTCCATCCAACCAAGGAACTTCAGTTCACCCGGAGAGCGCTTAAATTTTAGACCACAGGAACTGTAATCCAATCGTATACATGCCTAAGTTCAATCTATTTGTGACTTTGCTTAATGGTTTTCTAAATACAGTCATTTTGCGATGTAAACTATGAAATCCAGAAATCTTCAAAAATCCATTAAACAAATATACGGTTTGGTTTTTACTAACACTGAGTGATCACCATCCATACAGAGAAGTGTGACACCAAGTCAAGTTTAAGAATCTATGTAATTGATGAGTCACTGAGTTTTTTAACCTCACTAATGTTTCTTTGACAAAAACACAAGACTACGTACAACAGAATGATGACATAATCAAACGTAAACTGAGTTTTGTACCACTTACGACTATAAATATTGATTAACGCTTGGGTAGAGTTGGCTTACTCGCCATCTCCAATGTGCATCGTTTTGCTTCGCTCTGTTTTATTCGCTTCATATACAAATTATATGTATTCAAAAGTCCATTCTCGTTATTAAACTTATTTAATTCAGTTATTGACTAACGCCATTTAGGTCGATGATTATATACGGGAATCGGCGACATATATATTTCAATAACAATCATTCACACGATCTACTTGCAGTTAGATCCCGGGTCACTAAGGTTTCGTCCTACAATGTTTAATTCATTCTTATTAACTACTAAGAACTTTCTCAAACAATTGCATTCTATTGTTGTAAATCAATTTTCATCAATTTATTAGGAGGACATAGTCTTCGAATGATTTTCCTTTTGACGCGTTATCTACACATGAATGGTTCGAGGTTTGTAGAGTTTAATTATTGTCATCTGTATTTACTACAGTACCGTATTGAAGATAAATTATGATCGCTAAGTTGGGAGTCTTTTAGAGGAATAAATGCACAACAATATTCAAAAAGTTTCAAACTAAAGAATATCCACTCGATCAAACGCATACTTGTATTTTTCGATTTGTGAATAACTCTTCGACTAATGAACGGTCTTTATTCTGTAAACCAGCATGATGTAAACCAATACCGAAGGTTAAAGTTAAACGTAAATTTGTTTCTTGTATATTTTCACAAATTGATTCCATCTAGATAAAAATAAGTGATGAGTAAGTTTCGAATGACATCGATAAAAAAACGGGAATAATAATACAATAATTTTGACAGAAAAGTTTTTCACTAATCAAAGGATACGACGTCAAGGTGATCTTGAATGCTGACGTAGGGATGAGAGTAATTATCACTTTCTGGTCCCTCATTATTGTGGAACGATGGTTTTACTTGAATCACTTGGAAAAGAAGGGGGTGGTCTAGAGGGCCAGAGAACAATTAGTTGAGGAAAGTCATACAACCAGTTTCTGTGACTAATTTAAGACGTGTTAGCTTTGTGCTTTTCAGAACATTCCGTCGGCGACCTGATTTTGTAGGACAAGATGTAGCGCATTACTTTTAAGGCTGATAGTTTCCTAAAATCCATTCTTTCGTTGAGTATAGACAGCATCCTGTAGACCCTAAGTATTTGAGGAAAACACATTATTACGAATACACAGTAGGCAGTGGGACTATGCGCTTGGATTTTGAGTTAATTGTTTTTAATCTTACCGCTCTCTGAACAATATCTCTGGTATGATAGAAGATAAAGAAACAAGTGATCTAGACAACAAACATCGACTTGGTTATTACGACATACAAGACCAATCACAATATCAAAGTAGTAGATACAGTGAAGTTTGGATGTACAGTTCAATCCCTAATAAACCAGTTCATATTTATTCACGTCGAGAATCTAAATGAGGTTGAAATCGATTTTTTCCTTTTAATGCTAACAATAATGTGATCTAACTTTCCTATTCATTGACATTCGTCAATAGCAAGTTATATTCTGCAATCTTCATGAAATAAATGCTTTTTGTCAGAATTTGAATCCATGTTACATATAGACAACAGACATTATCACTGGGTTATACAAGTGGTAACTGACTTTACATATGATTATATTATTTACTCTGCTTGATCATTTTTAGCTAGTAACCAATATTTAGCTAATCAAGTGTTTATTATGAGATTCATTTATTATGACTGTACTACTGATGAGTAACAAGATTTGTTAATTATTCAGTTTTATTTCTTGTATTTCAGTGATTTAATGCTAACAAACATCTTAATCAAAAGCTTAACAATCTCCACAACCGCATACTGACTTTACAAATAGTAAGACATTTCGGTGATTAAAAAAGAAGCAGTTTCAGTTAAGCACAAATGAACCCCCATTTGTTCATTATTAAATGAATGTCGTCAGTGTAAACTATTTTTTAGTTTATTTGAAAAGAGAAAAAGCTTACTTCTTCTGGTTTCATATGTAACCAACATTTGGAATTATCAGAAGCTGCAACATAGCTAACCAAATCCAAAGCGGTTAATCTAGTTTGTCGACGACTTGATACAAATATTAGGACAGGTTTATTCGGAGAATGACTATTAATTGCTGAAAAAAATGTACACCAGTGATGTAAACATAAATATGTATGTTTATTACATATGAAACAATAAGAAAATTTGTAGGTTAAATCATGAACCCACTGTAGTTAGATAGCATTTGAAAATCAAAAACAACCGAAGTACTGTCTTATGATAGTGCGGGACTCCACATCAATGCACATCTACAAACCCCCTGTAAGGATCAAACATAGGACATTCAGGTCTCGTGGTGATTGCTTAGTCTTTAATCGCTTCTTGATGCTGAACAAACAACTTAGATGCTATTCTGTGGACAAACACTTCTTCATCACACCAAACGTGACTAAATCCTATTGATCACAGTTTCGCATCGGATGCACACTATGCAATTCAAAATCCTTCACAAACCTGCTACATTAATAGTAAGTTTGTTAAAAAACATTTAATAACTAGTTTCTTTTTCTGTATAAAACTCGTTAATGAATAAGATGAAGGCCTCGACATATTTAAAACATGCCGGAAGATTGTTCGAACCAAACGACTACCATGAAATGAAAAAAGTAGCCACAGTGATTCGACGACCAAAAGCTTAACGAATAATACTATTGCATAAAACGATGTCTGATTAAGCCGTGGGTGCATACCAAATAGGAGCTCCAAATTAAGGTAAAACAACTGTCAAATAAACCCCGATGACGAATGCATTATTAGCTTATGTCGTTTTGTGATATTGGTCTTTTCTGAATAATATTCTTTTTCATTCGAAAATATTATATCCGAATCGCCTCTGTTGTATCCCGAAATATAGTCACACTGAACGAGTGTTTACACCTGTCATTCTGGACAGCATTCATACTAAGTTGACATTAAAAAACGGCCTAGAATAATGTCTCTTTTTTGTTTTATCATATCAGTAAATGTTTGTCTTTCACCGAACAAACAAAAATAAATAACTGCCAAATACTTTATTGACTAATTGAGTTCAGTAGTTTGAAATGACGGAGTAAATGTGTAGCTAGAGTGGATGCTTTTGATGATGTTGAGTTTTTCGAGCTAGATGACTTAACTGAGGAGCTTTCATTGTCATTATAAACAATATCTTCAGCGCCTACTTCATGTAGTAGTAAGCTTTCTACTTATTCCATAAGTATTATATCGGTTCATTACATTGCCCCTGTTTGTGATTTTTACATCGTAAATTTCGTCGTCTTCATTTTCCTTTGGATACAGATGGACTGTCTTCGTTGGATTATCTCTGAGCTTTTGACTGATTGAACTTTTTGGCATAGGTTCATAGATTAAATCAACATCAAACAAGTCTGTTGGTTAATAAATGATATGAACTTTCCGGTACGTCAATTGATGAAACTGTACCGTGATGATGTTCTTCTCTTCAATGTTTGTGCTTGTGTAGTCAATGTGGAGTAAACCATTTTTTGTATTGTCAGAGGTACTGTGGTTTGGGTAAAACACTGGACTTTGAACTCGTCTCTACCAGGTTCTATTCTGTATAAAGATCCTGGTGAATCTAATTGACAAGTTCCATATAATATTAAACCAACTCTCTAGGATACGATTGATAGCTATAATTTATATGTATTAGAAACTTGATTTTCAGAAATAAAATTCATCCAATCGATGGTTTTACCTTGAAAAATTGGCCTATTCATGGTAGCCATACGTGGACAATAATGTCTACCTGGATAACCCTGTATATGAACTTCCAAAGGAACTGGTCTGACAGATGGTCGAAAATTAAATAAACCTCTACCAGTTAATCCATAACTAGTGCCAGAAATCGAAGCAACCTCTGCAATGGAAGTCATAGTGAATGGAACATGTAACCATGCAGCCAGATCTGGTGCATTGGCTAACGCTGTAGACAAACCAATAATTCTAATTGGTTGACCAAGTTGATTTGCGATGTAATTTGCTCGAGAAACAAGAACCTATAGAGAGAAAAATAGTAAATCACCTGTTACGTTGATAATAATTATAACTTAGTTTGGAGACCTTGTCTAGGGTAAATGATGGTCCAGAACTCTCAAAAAGAGTACATTAAGGTCAATTTAATTGAACAACTTGTAAATTTAATCAATTCCAAAGCAAGTAACGAAATACTAAGTTGAGATTTCATTAATTGCAACATTAAATGTCTTTCGATTTGTAATATGGTGCATTAAACATAATTCATGACTTATCATTCATTCGGATGATAAAATACAGCTTCGTATACAGTTAACACAAACCAATAGATTTTATTGGTTAAATAATCGACATTTTTTTTAATTATTTCATATTTCATCTGCTCGATTTGTGTGGATTTACAGACGTCGAACAAGTAATATTCATGTTAGTGAATAGATGATCAGTCCATTATACAGCGAAGAGAATGAAGTTGAATGCCTGTGAACTCTTGAAACGTAATTCAGTGAACTAAACGTTATTCTAGTCACCATGGAATCTGGAATTTATGAGTTAGACCTTATGCAGGGTCATGGGTGGGTAATGTTGAACAATGCTAAACTATATGGAACTCTCAGTTTCGCTAGTTGATACCATTTCGTGATGTAAACAGTCATTATTCAGTTTAAATAATTTCTATTCAATGAAAAAAACGATTCAAAAAAGTCTCAAACTAACATAGAGCATCCATTTCACAGATACTTACTTCCAGTACAGGACCTCGTTCTTCGCCAAGTAAATGAATTTCATCAATAATAATTAATGCAACTTGACGAACATATGATCTATGCTGCCATGATCGTGAAATACCATCCCATTTCTCAGGTGTAGTAACTATTAAATCAGATCGTAGTAACTGTTTAATATCTGGAGTGATATCACCAGTTAATTCAACAACTCTAAAGATGATATTTTGATAAAATAAACGAAGAAATGGAAGTACAATCACAATAAATAAATGTGTGAACAAGAATACTTTTATTTTCAAAGCCATGTCTGATAACATCACAAACCACTGGGTTACAACACTATCTCTGAAACTAAACAGAGAACTTATTATGGATCAACAGATGTCTAAATCAGAACAGATTTCTTTCATACTACAGAAACATGTCACAAATTGGTCATATGTTTCCTTTTACACCCATTCGCTCATATAATAATGCTTACTGAGTAATAAGTGATCAATATAAATTTTATCTAATCCTTCAAGTTATGATTGAATTCTATTGACCAAGTTGCAACGTGGCCACTACTTGCCAACTAACTCCAAACTTAGGTTCAATTTCCCTGTCGGTCTACGCCCAACTACATAACATATTTATTTGTTTAAATCATCCAACTAATTAAAAAAGTCGATTGGTTTATCAATAAAATAAAAGAGCTTTATAAAATATGTGAAACAGCAGAATGCAAGGCATACAGACAAGCTAGCAGTTTATTTTGGAATAATTCTTATGCCATTAGGCACTTTGGTTCAACCACACTTGCAAAGCAGATCGACACGCTAATAGTCTGTCTCTGCACAGCCGCACTAAGGACGTTTCTACCCGAAAAATTTTTAACAACCCGAAAGCGTCAAGAGTTTTATGAATATACTAGTATGGAACGTGGATAACATCACACGCATGCGTTACACGCATTTATAGAATGCATAAACCCTGGTCTTATACACACAGATATGGATGCGATTTGATGTTGTAGCAACAGCGAGTCAATGCATTACTTGCCTTCAAATAACTTGGGTTGTAAGTCGCTTATTGTTGATCAGCTACTTCATGCTTATATCATAAACAAGTTCAGTGTCGACCCCTGTGCACTGGTTTACAGTACAGTTTATGGTCATCGCCCTGGTTTGTAACAAACCTAATGACCTGTCCTAGAGATAATCCATTTAGGCACCAAAAGTAATAAGTTCCTCCTTAGTTTATTCATTTCACACTTATCTTTGCCACATGCCTGTTTCAGGAAGTCTACATTTTCGACAGAGTGGGGGACTAGTGCGAGTTCTATTGATGTCAGCAGAGTTGAAGTAATCCCGATCTCAACCTAGCCGCTCGCGTTAGTTCACAAAACAAAGTTTCACTATCTCCAAGGTACCTCGTGGAAGTATGCGTAGGATTTCACCTGGCATAAATTAGCGTAAACAAAGAGATTTTAAAAAATCATATTTATTTTAAATACTAACCGTTTCTTTAATTTTTGGCCGATTCGAATATTCCAATCATCAATACGTTCACGTACAAGTGCTTTCAATGGAGCAATATACACACACTAGTAAAAAATTAAGTAGAAAAAAATTATTACAATGTAATCAATCACATTTACAAATGAACAGTAATTAATCACTGAGTTTTGAACTATGTCAGGTTCGTCTACACTAACAGAAAATATCAGTTCCTTCAAGGTTCCAGATATACTTTGATGATAAGTACTGACTGGCATGAAGATATGGGTCGAGTAACGCTCCCAGTTGACTCTACATCCGAACAACCAGGTAACAACAAAAAGAATTTTTAGTCAACCTTGCCTCTACACCACTTTGAATAAAAAGGAGTAAACTCAAAGTTTCTTAGATGTATGTAATAGTTTAACTACAGAGTAACAACAGTACGTGATGGTGGAATTCTAAATAACTTATAGTTCATTTAGCGAAAACAAGACGAGCCCCAATCATCTGCTTTTATTCATCCATTTTTTAAAAACACTTCATTCCAATGAAAACGTTGAGTATGATTTTTCTGAATGGAGTTACAAATCTACGATTGTATTAGAATTGTTCGAAAGACTACAAACCTTTACAAATCTAAGATAAGTAAATAAACCTTGATATTAGTAAATAAGTCAAAATCAATGAGAATTGAATACAATTCAAACAAACAAACAAGAAAAAACAAATAAACAAACTTTTTGTTTCGGGTATTCATTAAATACACGAAAAATGGCTAATTCAGCAGCAACAGTTTTGCCGGAACCCGTAGGTGCACCTAACAGTACATTGACATTTTGATGATATAATGTATGAAATAATTGAGTTTGTATAGGATTAAAATATGGAAAGTTATATAATAACTCATAATTAGCATTTTTCAAGGCTGTCACTGGTAATGGTTGTAATTTAAGTAAATCTATTGTTGAATTCAAAAAGAAAGAGAGAAAGAAAGCAAACATAGACTATAAGAAAAGGAATGATAATTATTTATTATTTATTAAAAAGTGGCCGTGAACATTATAACTTGTATTTATCTATCTAGCTACCTACGCACGCGTATGACGTTCCGTAGTTGTTCGATTTAGTTAAAGATAAATACACTTAATATGCACTTGGTCAAACTGTTACAAACTGTTAAAAGACTAAGAATGATCTAAACTGAATTTATACATTTTACTAATTACGCTTATCCTCTCCTCCTAAGTAAAAATACTTCTCATATACATCAACACACTTGTCTCACATTCGTTTCCATTGATCAAATCATCCAGGAAACTTCTCAAAACTTATGATCTTCAGCTGTCTAGTGGTTTTAAATTGTGAAAAGAACTCTATATGCAACGAATCTTTGTCATTTTCTAATTGAACAATGGTGATTGCTCAAATAGAGGATAAGTTCCTTGATTTAGCCAATTTGATGTGAATTTATTAATTAAGCTATTCTGGTGGAGGATGCTTTATCGAGCCTACTACCAGACAACTTAACCAATGAGACAGAGTATTTCCACTCATGACTTGCGAGTGGTCAGATGAAGCTAATACTCATCTCTGTCCTACCACAACTGATAGATCATTGTCAACAAGCAGATAGGAAAGAAACATTTTGAATGATAAATCTAGTATTATCAAGTTTTCTCACTTATAAAAGACTTAGGGATTCGAGTTAAGAACCCTAGACTTTGTATTTGAAAAGGATTTGTAACACCTTTGTCTCTTCTTTAGTCAAAGAAAAATTAACAGACGATATTACGAATTCCTTCTATCGTTCGTTTGTTACTCTCCATTCCCTTTTCTTTCATGTTGACTCTTGAAAACTAGTATACTTAGACTGATGGTTTATATACTTTATATTACATAATCTTTTGAAACAACTAACAATACATATTCATTGATGTAAGTTTGAACCTACTTCCTATGTCAAAATAATTATTCGCATTATCATGTTCATGTATCAAGGTTGCAATGGGAAGAAATATTCATTCACTCTAATCACTTTGTTTCACTACTTATCATTTTAGTGTAGCTATGAAGTAACATTATACGTAATGTTACAATTAGTTTCTTCGTAATGTTTTCTTTATGTATATAAATGATGATTTAAATATATGCGCATTGGTAATATTGTGTAACAGAATCGCATTAATTAGTCAGTCATAGAACTTATTAAGTCTCTGACTGCTGACCGAAATAATGTGATAAAATTACTAATTAGAATCTTGATTTCTATGACTTATTGTCTCTGAGTTAATCATTATGTCTAACTAGCAATAGTAACCTTAAGTCAACTGCTAGGTTCTTCGTGGTACATGATCTTGAAATAACAAATACATGTAAATGAATACCTGTATGAGGTGGATCACTACTCGGTAGAATGAGACGTTTCAATGAAATTGGACAGGTTGAATCAGTTCCAAGCCAACAGTCACTGAGAATACGAACAAAATATTGAGTTGGATAAGGTTCATACAATGGAATAGTGAAATTTAAAATTTGTGGGGTTTTTGAATTGAACTATAATTTGAATGAACAAAGAAATATAGATGAAATTTAATAACACTCTTCTACCCAAGAAGCAGTTATACACAAATCAAATTTTTGTGAAAAACAAGTAGATTGATAAAATAACAAGTTAAATAGTTTATATTATACAGATGATCACTGAAAATCAAGAGAGAACGAACAGCTGTTTGGTCCTAACACAGAACTATTCAGTAGGGTGGATCCAACCTTCCTACTTGAGGCCAAACCCGAAACCTTTATGTCTTATATAAAGTGGTTAATCTTCAGATAGCTGAGTTGGCAATTAATATGACTTCCATTCCAAACTTCAGGCAACCCATGATATTATGCGATAATTATTCATCGCAAATGATGATCCCTACCACATTTATGGTCAAATCACACTGGTCACTATTTTTCACAAGAAGTAACAAGTAGGTAGGCTATGATTCAAGCATACAACCCTACTGATTGCAGGCCAAAGACGTTTTTACCAACAAGCCACAGCTTTACTAATAATAAACAAAATTTAAAAAACAAATCAACTCAACCCATAATATACCATGCGTTTAGTCAATGTCCAATATTCTGAATGAAATATAACACCTTGATCAGGATCTTCAATCCATACCCAATATGATTGCTGTAATCCATGAATTTGATTTGACCAAGTAAAATCTGGCTCAATTGTAAGCTTAACACGAAGAATGGTACGTGTAATAGGTTGTGATTCTACAGCCAATTGTACTTTTGGTACATAGAAAGCTAAACGTCGAATTTCGCGAGCACCGTCTTTTCCTTGGTAGTGAAAGAGGTAAGCTAAATTAGAAAAAAAAACATGAGTGAAAATCGATGAACAGGTCATAGGTACGTGATAGAAAATAGTAGACATTACTAACTACATGGTAAATAGTATATAGTAAGTTAACATTACAGAGATTAATCAAAAAATGTATGAAAAAAATCAACGTATAAATGAAGCATCCAGTAAATAAGAGGATATTAACAGTTGTTAGGAAGTTAAAGACAAAACCTTAAGAGATGATACATCATGAAGTGAGCTCAGTTGAAAAACGACTGGATACCATGAAGCACTCGACAACTGTTTCGTCCTAGCATGAAACTCATCAATCATGTATATGCGTGACCCCAATACGGATTGTAACCGGAAACTTTATATAATCTCGAACTGGATCCTTTAACTAATTTATTTATTTGAACACATAAACACGAATAGAACAAGGTACCACATATATATACACCACAATTTAACGTTCGGTTTGTGTGAGGACAGGAATGCTACCTGGACCACCCAAGCCAAATCAGGTAGTTTTCTTAGGAGGACACTACCCAAATATTTGACCATATGGTCTAATCCACAAGACAACGAATTAACGTTACGAGATGCAGTCCCATGGTAACCGATCACCAACAATAGGTTCATACGCTACTTGTTTCCCATGATCCTGGAGCCCATGTTCACCACTGGTTTGCAATCAGGGTTGTCCAACTACTCTAGGTGGATCCTCTATATCCTGCAACTCGGTTAAACGGTCGGACATTCGCTTTTCGTCCTCTCAGTTTCGTAAACTACACCCCCACCGTGAGAAGGTAGTGAGTAGAACTTCCGTGGAAGTGGCTGTATACGCGTGGCCATGTGAGAGCGATTCGAGAGGGAGACCGGACTCGCTCCACTCTCAGCCGTACCAGGGTATCTGGAGGTCTTCAACTTGAAAATCATTGAGTCAATAACCAATGACTTATATTTCTAACTTCAACAAATTCATGATATTTAGCAACTACAGTTCAATACTATTAGTGGATAGCTGTATGATATACCCTTTCTTAGTTGAATGATTTTCTAAGAAAGCTCAAAATTACATATAGATATTGTGATCGACTGATAGTTGAATAATTATCAGCCATTGCACTGAATGAGTATTGTGATTAACTGGAAGTTGTAAATGTAATATCCCGAGGTTCAACTTGAAGGTATAAAATTACACCGCTAAATATAAGACATAGAATGTTCAAGTTCCAACTCAAGAGAGAAGTCACCGGTGTGCATGGCTAGGTGAAATAGTTAAGTAGCATTTTCGCATTTTCAAAATACTTCACGATTTGATACCAGGCTGTAAAAAATGTAACTATAAAAATAAGCCTATTTTCTTAACAATCACACTCGCAGAGTCAGTATAGTGTCCAATTTCATTGTCAATCGACATATATACAAAACATTTATTAATATTTTAACAAAAAAAAAGAAACTACTTATATCAAACAAAAATAATAACCCACCTAATTCATTGACATCAGTTTCACGAATGCGATCAACTGAGAATTGGAGTTCTTCAACACGTTGAATTAACCGTTGTTTACCATTTTCTACAAATTGCCACAATGGACTTTGGTCATTCCATAATCTTTGTTCAAACATCTAAACATAATAATAATAATTTTTTAAAAAGATATATTTTAGAAATAATATATATTACTTAATGTAATAAAGTTACATAAATGTATTAATATTAACGCTGCACTAGTCCGGTTTTAGACGATATTATGGTTAATCAATCAGTTGTCATTAAGATGGATGATCTAATCCTAATCAGTTAACCAACACAAATAATACGATATTTAATGTGAAACGACTGAAAGTGGAAATTATGAGATGGTGGAGAGGATTTGTAGCTCAGGTGGATGATTTTGGTGGCGTTTTGTTCTCTGAGCTCAGAGAACAAAAGTGGAAATTATGTTGATCAATAGTCTTTCATGGTGTGTAAAATAAGCAGCTTTATTGGTTTCCTTGCGACTTTCGATTTATTTTTTTTATTTGGTTAGTAACTTGTTCTAATGATTACGACAAATTAATTTACTATGAACAATAACGTATCTGTGGCTTTCAGTTGCACACTAAGTGAGAGGGTTTAGTGAAACTGTTTATTTGCCTAAGAGGAAATAGGTGGGTTAGTGTTTGAACCTGAGATTCATCAGCTGATAGTCCAATATCTTAATCAGTAAGCTACTAATTAACCATTTGTTATCTGGTGACATTATCTTCGTTGAATATTTAATCTATAAATAGTAACCTTCATTCACAATAGATATTCACTTACTCCATCAACAGACTAGAGATCCGGTGTACTCAAATTTATTCAATTGAAATTTGATGATTGATTTTCTGAGAGAATTATCAGTTCGGTAACCATGGTTGATTAAGAAAGCCATTATTATACAGTATACAAAACAAAATGAGCCTGTATTATACTGGACTAGCGAAAAGCCAAGTAGTCTGAATTTATCACGTTAATGAACTAACACTACGAAAATTAGTGACACAGTTTGTTAATAAAAAAAACACTGATATTTTACCTTGGTGGACAGCGTGACGTAGTGTACCAGTGTTAATGTAACCATTTCATAACAAAACATTTTACCAACACTGACTTATGTATTGTGTTGGATTGATGAGAGATACCAGTGTACAGTTCATCCTACAGTGACCTACTTCATAATCATACAATGTGAAAGGATCAATAAAATATATAAGTGAGCCCTACACAAGAAGTTGTGAAGAACAAATAGATGTAAAAAAGGTGGAGATTAGCAATTTAGAGGGAGATCTATATGATTACCGTAACCAGTGATTAGAGACGTACAAGTGACTGACTACTGAGTAGTAGTTGTAAATATCATGCTTTTCTAGTCCTCTTAGTGTTCATCGGATTCTGACGATCAAGTTGCAGTGTGACCGATAATATAATTAATGCGATGTCACATGTATTATCTTGAGATTTTAGTCGGTTTGAGGTAGATGTTGAAGATGTATAGTCACATGGCTCAATCACTATCTTCCACTAGAATTTGGGTTTTACAATTGTCTTACATTATAATATATTTCACAAATTGATTCATTCTTCTCGAATCGTATTGTATATGCCTAATCTATTCTATTACCGCAGATACTACCACTATTTTTTTTACTATTCTGAGACTTAACATGATAATTTCATCTTGCTGTATTGACATGGAGCGATAACTTGAACCGATACATACATGAGCCGAATTCTACGTTACTTACGACGGATTGATCAATTGACAACTATCTATGAGACCACGGCAATTTGTTATTGCAGTTTTTCTATCCAGCTTGAACATCATATGGAAGCTGTTGAGAAGATATTAGTCAAAAACTAAGTAAAAGTCACCTAATTCGGTATTTTAAGGCTATATCACTAAATAGATAATTATTATTGAGCCCAATACATACTACAAGACTATGGAATTACTTAATAAGTGTTATTAACACATGTACAATAGTTCTTTTAAGAAAAGGATAATCAAACACACATAGAGTGACAGCGTTCTTGAATAGACGAGCCAGATATTACAAGCATAAAATAAAACTGATGTTCACAAACGACAAACTGAAATCCACGGTTTAAAAGGGTATGAAATGATTACATCTAAGTTAGACATCAATAAAACGTGACTAGTAAACGTGAACAAGCAAAAAAAAGAGAACTTCAGTGAAAATCTTTCAGATGATTAAAATTTGAACAATATAAAAGAAATATCATAATAAAGTGATAAATACACGAATAGTAATACTTACTCTAGCCAAAGTCAATGTTATCGTGGCACATTGTGACCAACCTTGACGCAATGAAATTTCGAAAAGATATCTAACTAAACGTCCAGCATTTTGTTGAACAAAATTCATATCAGATGAAAGTGAATGACAACTGGGATTATGACGACTTATGTAACCTTGTAATAGTGCATTCACTTTTGCAATAACATCTGTATCAACTGTGCCAGCTTGCTGAATCGGTAAATGACAAACTTTATTCTTAATATCAATTAATTCAGTGCCTTCCTCTTCACGTACCTTGAAAAATATTGAATAATAGTAAACATAATAATGTGTGCTGTGAATAGAGAAACAAAGAAGCCATGACAAACAACGAAGGCTATTTTTGGGTGAAGTTATTTCACTCTATTCAAAGTTTGTACAGAGAAACACTACCATTTAATTTTCTCTTCTTTACTCTATAAACCATAAGCTTTCGTTTAATGTATGGTTCACTGCCATATCCTTTTCTATTCCTGAACTACTGTAATTTAAATGTAACCTTGGTACTCATTTTTTACCCTAAGCCTGATGACGATCTAATTGAAAACAATTGTTCGCTTATATGTGTTGTTCTAATTTTCACAATTGGAATCTTTAATATTGGACATAATTGTATTTACCTAATTGGTTTTCCGTTATGGTCGTGTTACTCATCAATTCATTCATGAACCTTTTAAAATGATCGAAATCGGGAATAAATCGAGCAGTGTTCCAGCTGACTCGCCTTCTCTCTTTCACTTGCCTGTCAACAAATTAGCTGGTAGAATATTTTTCATCTATTTACCCTAAGTAGTTAGTCTTAGTTCGAACTCACGCGTTTCTAGCCTCAATGTTGAACCAGTCAGCCTGTAGTGTCAAGGCCTTAATCTAGATCGAGATACGTTCTCTCCTGAATACTATTGGGTAGACAGATCAAGAACATAACAATGTGATCAATATAATTAGATAATTATACAAATATATTTCTATGATATATTGGTCAACAGGTATTCATATTGACTGAGAGGTTTAAAAGTTGCATGAACCAACTACCGAAGGTTAAGTCGAACCCTCACAGAGATGTTGGGTTACATGGTAGGAAATCTTGTGTAACAATATCTGTTATGTTGTGACTTGTGATAATAAAGAGAACAAATTTTGATTTTGGCAACTGAGGTATACTAAATACACAATACGGATAAAGCGTCAAAACATTCAGCTTTCAACCATTGGATCGTACGTTCGAGCTTTCATCTACTTACTTTGATTGAGATACGTAGAAGCATTATGATCACTACCTCCCATATATAAAGATTAGTTTGAATTCAACCACATGAATTTGTACCTAACAAATGAATTACAACAACTGCATATTTGTTACATTGAACATCATTTTCACCATCGATAATGTACAATAGGAAAATTCTCTTTATAAGGTGGTTGAACATAATCGATAGAGAACCTTGTACCTAGGTTTCCTGTTATTTGGCACTTGTTAACAAGGTATATCTGTAGTATTGAGGAAATTGGTGTTCTTTGGTGGACTTAATTCCAAATAACCCAGTTCTACAGTCAAAGACGTTACCAGTGAACTAATCCGACAGCGACTGACCTCCTATAGCACTGAGATATAATTATAATTGATCCTAATAACATTCTCCCATTAATTTTTCATACTAGTTTCGGACTCGACCTAGAAAAAACAAACACGTTATCCGGAAAACTAATCACCAATAGTGAAGCGACTTGATAAAACCTTGTAAGTTAACAGCATACAGTAGAATCAAGTCAAATGAGCAAGTAACTGCAAATCATTGAGCAAAGGATATAAATTTCTCAGTCAGGTGTAGAAGTTGACAACTCTAATTGAATGGACTGTGAACAAATGTCAATGTTCAGGTATATTCAGTTAACAAGTTTTAAATCAACCGAAACAAATTTCTGAAACCTTAAGTAATTATAGAAGTACAGTCAAGGTGTTACTCAATGCTAGACAAGACGAGTTATATATGACAACACTGTGGTATTTTAAAGACTATCATGGGATTTCAAAGATGAATCTCAGCCACGAAGTGACAGCAGCTAGCAAAAAGTTAAAAATCTATTAGAAGTGGACAGGTGCTTGCCCACACTAACAGACCTGATAAAGGAACCATCCTAGCTTCGCACAGATACCACTGTCTTTGCAACCAATAGTCAGTATATCCAGTTTTGATTAAGTCGCAATGTAGTGTAATAATCAACGAAGCCCATTAGTAAGTAAGTAACAGTTTCCATGATGGGAGATAATTGAAGTTAACCAATAAAAATCTTTCACTGCTATAAATATTCACTTGATTTTAGAAACGATTAATCATTCATATATAACAAGAATAATAAAACCGTAAAGTTTAAATAATGAACACAAACCTTCATTGATGCGAATTCTGATGCTTCACTTAACATAGCAAATATTTGTGGAATCATCATTGTTGGTTCTAAGGCATCTTTAACCATAGCTGCGGTTTCATAACGTATATAAAATAAGCTAGCCGTACGTCCACGATCTGTTGATGCTAATTGACCAGTAGCTGGCTCGTAACGAACCATTTCAGCACAATCTAAGTCGGTAGCACAAGTACGCACAACACGACCTAAGAATTCAACTAGATCAGGATCACGCTGCCGTAAGAAAAAAACAAGCGGAAGCAAAAGTCACTGGTAAGTCTTTTAAGAAAAAACGATGTTTTTATATGATAGACGAAATATGCGCCCTTTATTCTATCTGGGATCGATCAAAGCTGAACATATTTGTGTCCCACCCAAAGTTGACAGTTACTCCGGGACTCGAACCCAATGAAGATATCAATAATGAGATAGTTCAACTCATTTCAAATAGGACTAAAATTCATACCGGTTGTACTAGTGAGTGGTTACGTGGTCTCAGTAGCTAAGGGCATGAAATATTGTTGTTTGAAATGAACGTTACTGCGTTCGAGTCCAGCAGTGAACATCGACTCCAGGGTGTAGATACACCTAGCTTACAGGTCCGAAAAGGGACGAAATGAGGATCCTAGATTCCATTGCTAGCCATATCCCATCTGTTATATGTAAACCTGTGTCATACTGTACATATATCTGCACAGGACGCACATATGCCAACTAAGACTGATCTAATTTTAGTCAAAATATCAACCGTAGGATATTCAAACCTATTACAATTTAAAAGATAATGTCAGTGATAAATTCATTCTAGATTAGTAAATAAATATAGACTCGATCGCCATTAAGTGAAGTGATCAACTAGGTTTTATTTATTGTGAAATTTGAAATATCTGAGCTCAGCCCTCATGACATCGAGGGTTGGTAGGGAAATGAGTGTTTAGAACGCCACGGTTACTCACATCATGCAAAGATATTTTTTCCCGATGGGTTTAAAAAAGAAACTGGATAAGGGATGGTTTGGATAATTTGGAAACATGACCATAGAGCTCGAAAGAAAACCGTTCGAGCTCGGTGACATAACTATTTTGCGAATAGTTGCTGATGTGTTCCGTATATTTCAAATTATACTGCCGGCCTATTAGTTGCCTGTACTAAGCCGCTGCTGTCTTAATGTCAAACGATAGGTGAGAAATTATAATCAAGACATGATGTTGAAGAAACTCAATTATGCACCTAGTCAAGATCTTAACGTACAGATCCACGTATAGATCAGAAAGAGAGCTATATCTGTATTAATGATTTATGTACACGTTTATTCGGTTTGTTAATTACAGTTTTCCAACAATGACTTGATCTTCTCATTTGTGTATACCTTATTGGGCAACTGTATAGGAATTGTGTGAATCTGATACGAATATCGCGGATTGTAACAAACATGATAGTTAATAGAATATTGTTATTCATTTGTATACAATTGGTTCGTAATTCAATACTTACTTCAAGAACAGCTGTAGTTAATCCATAATTCAGTGGATTTTGTCTTAGTCGTATAAATAAATACGTGTAACTCAACCATGTTACAGCTTCATCAATATTAGAAACTGTACCCAAAGAAATCTAAAAAGGATAGAAATTGTATTCAAAATCTAATTAGAAAGTGAGAAATCGACATTATCATTAGTATAACAAATGCAACCGAATAAACGGAATATACCCATTAGAACATTAAATAAGAAAGAGTAGTTCAGCGAAGAGTTCTCTTTTCGGCGAATTCATTTTCAAAGCTGTACAATCGCAAATATATATACTTATTTTTACAGGATGAATACAACCGATTAATACGTATCTAACTTTATACTACTGTTATTTTAGTATAACAAGACTACCAAGTAGCATGCATATCAGTAGACGTAATAGAGAAGGGAACAAGATCCTTACTGTATCCAGAAAATATGATATAATCACTCTGAGTAAATAGTTTATACAAGACAATAGAAAAATATGACAAATTCACAAAAAACTAAATAGGTTAAGTGATCAATTTGAGATAAGACAAGGTCAATGAAGATTTTTTCTAGTCATCACAATTAGTTTTGACGTACTTACTTACTTACTTACTTACGCCTGTTACTCCTCGTGAAGGAGCATAGGCCGCTCACCAGCGTTCTCCATCCAACCCTGTCCTGGGCAATCCTTTCTAGGTCCGTCCAGTTGTAATTCGTCGTTTTCATATCTGCTTCTATTATCCGACGCAATGTGTTCTTTGGCCTTCCTCTTTTTCGCTTCCCCTCAGGATTCCAAGTTAGGGCTTGCCTCGTGATGCAGTTTGACGATTTGCGTAATGTATGTCCTATCCATTTCCATCGTCTTTTCCTAATTTCTTCTTCAGCTGGAAGTTGGTTTGTTCTTTCCCACAGAAGGCTGTTGCTGATGGTATCCGGCCAATGGATGTTGAGTATCTTGCGAAGACAGCTATTTATAAATACTTGTACTTTCTTGATTGTGGTTGTTGTAGTTCTCCAAGTTTCAGCTCCATACAGTAGAACTGCCTTGACGTTCGTATTGAAGATTCTCACTTTGATATTGGTTGAAAGTTGTTTTGAGTTCCATATGTTCTTCAATTGTAGGAATGCGACCCTTGCTTTGCCGATCCTCGCCTTTACGTCTGCATCTGAGCCTCCTTGTTCATCGATGATGCTTCCCAGATATGTGAAGGACTCTACATCTTCCAGAGTTTCGCCATCAAGAGTGATTGGATTGCTGTTCTCCGCTTTGAATTTGAGGACCTTAGTTTTCCCTTTGTGTATGCTGAGGCCTACTGATGCAGAGACTGCTGCTACACTGGCTGTCTTCATCTGCATCTGTTCGTGTGTACGTGATAGGAGGGCTAGGTCATCTGCGAAGTCCAAATCGTCTAATTGATTCTGAGCTGTCCATTGTATTCCGTGTTTTCCTTCAGATGTTGAGGTCTTCATAATCCAGTCGACCACCATAAGAAAAAGGAAGGGAGAGAGTAAACAGCCTTGTCTGACTCCGGTCCTTACTTGGAATGCATCTGTCAGCTGTCCTCCATGCACTACTTTGCACTGTAGTCCGTCGTATGAGTTTCGGATTATATTGACAATCTTCTCAGGAATTCCGTAGTGTCGAAGAAGTTTCCATAACGTCCTCCTGTCTACACTGTCGAATGCCTTTTCATAATCAATGAAGTTGATGTATAATGAGGAGTTCCACTCAACTGATTGTTCGACGATGATCCGTAGTGTTGCAATTTGGTCTGTGCACGACCGATCCTTACGGAATCCAGCTTGTTGATCTCGAAGTTGGGCGTCTACTGCATCCTTCATCCGGTTCAGCAACACTCTGTTGAAGACTTTCCCTGGTATTGACAGTAGTGTTATGCCTCTGTAGTTCTCACATTTGCTCAGATCTCCTTTCTTTGGAATCTTGACGAGGTGTCCTTCTTTCCAGTCCATCGGCACTTGTTCCTCTTCCCAAATCTTTTTGAATAGAAGATAAAGCATGCTTGTGGTTGTTTCGATGTCTGATTTCAGTGCTTCAGCTGGTATGTTGTCGGGTCCTGCTGCTTTCCCGTTTTTGATTTGTCTGACGGCCATTCTAATTTCTTCCGTAGTCGGTGGATTGACATCTATAGGAAGATCTATGTGTGCTGCTTCGATGTCCGGTGGTAGTTTTGACGTACAAAACGAAAAAACCTGATATTCTCGAAAATGTTTAACAGAGTACACTACTACTAGTGAAACTGTTTGAATTCGAATCCCATTCCAAACTACGATTTCGCTTTAAAAGGTCAATTTCATCAATTACCATGTCAACGTTAGCAAATAATGTCGATTACTTTTTCTGATTGGACATTTTAAAAATATTCTGAGACGAAATTTGTACATCATAACATGGCTCATAAATATGATACTCAACTCTTTAAAATAGCTGCGACTAAGAAGGAGGACAGAAATTTTTATGTCTATAATTCACAATAGTTAGTGCTTACATAGTTCAACGATTGTTATCAAGTAGAATGCCTCACTCACATACATAGATATTATTTAAATGATGCAAATTTGTTGTTTGGTGAGATGTTGCGTTCTTCTTGGCCTGTATTAGATGTTTATTCATGAATCGTTCGTTAACTTTCTGAATAACTCGATCGAGCATATATATTTAGAATCAACTAATCGAGTTCCATGTCAAAAAAAAACAAGCTGGTGATTACATTTGTGAAAAAATTCTAACTACTCCCTTCTTTACGATGTATGGTAAGATGTGGCCTAGCAACATATCGAAACCTTCATGAATGGGATTATCCAGCTCAAAGCACACAACACCATCAGTCAACAAAACTGCAATGATACACACTATGTGCTGCGAGTAGAAATTTATTTTTAAAAGAGAAAATAAAAGTATGTCCAACTAAATTGTCGCTAGTAATTCTTTAGTCACATACCACATGTCGTCTGATATTACTTTAAGTTAGTGACTGAGATAAATAGGAAAAAAGGTATTGGAAGGCCGACGCACATCGCTTGCCCTCGAATTCCTTAGTACGGTAGAGAGTGAGGAGAGTCCGATCTCACTCTCGAAATGCTCTCACATGGTCACACGTATACAGCCACTTCAACAGAAGTCCTACTCACTGCCTTCTCATGACACCGGTGAAGTTTACGAAATTGGGAAGAGGAAGAGAGAATGTCCGACCGTTTAACCAGGTTAGAGGATATAGAGGATCCACCTAGAGGAGTTGGACAACCCTGATTGCAAATCAATGGTGAACATGGGCTACAGGATCATGAGAAACAAGTAGCGTATGAACCTACTGTTGGTCATCGGTTACCATGGGACTGCATTTCGTAACGTTAATTCATTGTCTTGTGGATTAGACCATTGGGTCAACGTTTTTGGGAGTGTCCTCCTAAGAAAACTACCTGGCTTGGGTGTCCAAGTAGCACTCCTGTCTTCACACAAATCGAATGATGAGGTGTGGCGCATATATATTTGGTGCCTGCTTGTACCAATATTTGTGTTTAAATAAATAAATAAAGTCATATATGAAACCGAATTTAAGTAGAAATCCGATCCTACTGTCGTATTACTTTACTTAATCATATGAAATTATATTTGGATAAATTTATGAGGAAACAAAAATCAACTTAAAAACAACAAGTGAATATGGTTTTTATAATATTGAAAGAGTCAAATTCAACTAACCTCAGCATTTAAATGATCATGTAAATTAGTGAGTAAATTACTTTCAATCGGACCTTGATTTGTTATGAAACGTAAATAATGGGCTAGTGATTCTTGATTAGTTATTAAAGTAGCTTGACCGTGAGTATCAAATTGTGGTCGACCAGCACGACCAAATATCTACATATTACACAAAGACACATATAAATATGATATATAAATAAGAAAAAAGTAAACATCATTGATTAAATGTAAACAAAAGAACAAAAGGGTAAATGAAATAATGCAAAAAAAAAGCACTCTTTGTATACATAAAAAATCAAAGTGTATATACAGCAAACAGTGAAACCTGTTTCGTATAATTCATTATCTCTCAAGGCATGAATTGATTTGGACAACTATTAAAATATCTAGTACAGATGTACGGGATTATACAGATAGTTGTAAACCATGTAGCTATTGTGAAAAATTGATAGCAATTGCCAGTTTATGCAAAGCACAAGATGAGACCCATGTATAAGGGTAATGTAACACGTGTGTCAAGTAGAAATTCATAATTCGATGTTAAGTGGTTGAAGGTAAATAGATGACAGAAAGCCCTAGACCCAGGCTTTATGCTATTCCGTATTCGTTAGTAAGGCATAATTGTAATCCTGAAGAAACTGATGCAGCAGGTGGTATTCAGACGCGTATCACCCAGTCCCACAGTCCACGACGTTACAGTTGAGCTGTTCACAGCTAACATTATAGCTTTTGGATACATGCTTTCTATGTGGATCCCAGCGATACTACACGGGCTGGAAAACCAAAGTACCCAGACAGAGGTCCGAACCTCCAGCCCACTAGTTGACGATGAACCATTTAACTGCTAATCATATAAAGGGAATTTTGATTTTATAGTTACGAATTAACTGATCAGACGATCAATGCATAAATTTAAGAACCAAAAATTACTGATAATTAATAATCACAATAGCGTGTTACGCCCATAAGATTTTCAAATAACGAATAAAGGATACGCAGTTAAGATGGATGCTTTAATGTAGTAACTTAAACTGAATTCAATAATTTAACCGTGTTTCTTTGTCATTCTAACTAACTGTAGTGGACACTGCTCACAATATTTTTTGCGGGTAGTGTGTAAACACTTTGTAACTTGTTATCATAAATGTACCCTCCTCCTGCATATTGCCTTCTTACATGGCTACGGTGATAGCTTTAGAGTTGGACAAACTGAATCCCAAAGACCACAATAACAACATTATCAAAAGTAATATTAGGTCAGAAAGCTATGGGAAACTGACGGCTAAACTGAACCATCTATGAGAAGTGTAGATCACATTGGTTATAATCACATACACTGCCATAACCAATAGTGAGAGGTATTGGATGATATGACTAATAATCGATTCCGATAACAGATCTATTCGCCATTTTTTTTCTTTCAGATCTTGAGTTAGGAAAAGATTGTATAAATTTTCATTCAAATACCTCTTCATAAATTAAATTGTTTATCTTTAAAGTTTTTTACTACCGCCAATACTATTACTACCACCATTATTCTGACATTTATCTTGATAGTTTCATTTCAATGTAGTTCATTTAGTCCATTAATTTGAATCGATCAGCATATATATATGTCAAGTTTTACGTTGCACATGACTAACTGGCATCACCAAATATGTATTAATTAGATGAAAGCAAGCTGCACATACTTTGGATATATAAAACATTACTCACTTGTAAAACATCCAATATATCTAAATTGACAAAATCTGATTTTTCCGCTTTATAAACACGTGTACCTTTAATAATAACAGCATGTGCTGGCAGATTAACACCCCATGCTAAGGTTGCAGTACAAACAAGTACACGTATATGACCATCTGCAAATAGCTTTTCAACAAGAGTTCGATCAACGCGTAACATTCCAGCATGATGACAAGCAAAACCATCAGGTACTAGGTCTTTAATAGTAGAATCAGATGATTTTTGTATCTAAAAGATACATATACAAATATTTAAAGAAAAATGTTAGGACATAAGAGTATACTAACACGCTCTCGTCTACAAATATATCAGTAGCTTAATAATGAAAAATATTGCAGCTTTCATGATTTTTAATTTATGTCACGGCCTGACAATGGTTCACCAACCATCGACCGTCTATCACAAATAATATGAATGTACGTAAATTACAGTTTATTTAATGTGCTATGTGATCATTCATTTTCAGTATATTATAGTATGTATTTGATTCAAGGTTGAATTGAGTACAATAGAGAACTAATCCGCTTCTTATTTGAGTCCTCTGATTAGTTACTGAGTTATAAACACCTCGATGGTAAATAAGCTTTAGGATCTCGACTGTCATTTATTAGTCAACGTGTCAATTGATAAATAGGTTAACGGTCCTACTGACAATATAGGTACCCCCAAATGCCCTGGTACAACCGAGAGTGGGGGAGATTTAGCTCTTCCTCTCGAAATGCTCTCATATGGCCACACGTATACAGCCTCTGCAAGGGAAGTACTACTCACTGCCTTCTCACACCAGGGGTGTTGTTTACGGAATTGAGAGGACGAAAAGCTAGTGTCCGGCGCTTTAACCGGGTTAGTGGACACGTAGAGTTCACCCAGAGAGTTGGAAAATCCTCATTCCAAACCAATGGTGAACATGGGCTCCAAAATCCTGAGGGAACAAACGGCGTACTAACCAATTATTGATCACCGGCTACCATGGGATTGTATCTCCTTACGATGCTCCACTGCCTTGTGGATCAGACCTTCAGGTCGAAGGCTCTGGGTGTGGCCCCATAAGAAAACCACCTGCTTCAGTCTGCGCACCCGGACAGTATCACAGCCCTCAAACATATCAAATGAGATTTGTGTGGCGCATATGTATTTGGTGCCTACTTGTACCAATATCTATGTGTTAAAATAAATAAATAAAAAAATATAGGTAAACTAATTGATACTCGAAATCCTGTGACTAGCCAATATAACACATGGTATCGATTAGTGGGTGGTATTAAGCCACAACAAATTGGCAATCACAGAACACAACAATCCGTTTGCATGGTATAATACAAACGAGAGCGCGGTGTTTTCAATACAACCGGTAGATCTTGTAGTGTATGCTACTTATGTATGTAGACATAAGTGGCATGTAACACTAATCAGAAGTGAAATGCCAGGCAAAAGAAAGTTGAGATCGAATTGAAGAGAAGAGAAATATAAACAGAGTAATTGTAATAACAACAGGAATGAAGGAATAACGAAGTATTTGATGTATGGTTTTCATATTTTACGAAGACATTCTGTAATTTTGTGTTAAACAATAAACTGGTCTTCCTCAGTTGAGTGTTCGTTCACGACAGAACTCACTAGGTATTCTTGAATCTATGAACTAATTTTATGAATGACTTATAGCGTAATAACATGGAATTTACAACAAACTGATTATATATCAAATTTACATCTATCACAATAAATAATCAAACATTGGAAGGTAACTAAATGAGTAGGCGATAAATGCTACCAATGCTGACAGATATGAGCAGTATATGGCAGCAATCGAATGTGGAATGCCTGCAGCAAAAGATGAGAAGATTGAATAATGAAATTAATGTATAGTTTTAATATTTGACGAAAGAACTCTGTAATTTCACATTTCGCAATAAATTAGTTTTCACCACCGATTTATTTATTTACACACATAAACATTGGTACAAAGGGGCACCGAATACATAAGCGCCACATTAATCATTCGATTTGTGTAAGGCCTGAGATACTGCTCGGGTTCCCAAACCGAAGCAAGTACTTTTCTTAGGAGGACACTACCCAAATATTTGACCATATGGTCTAATCCACAAGACAACTAATTAACGTTACGAAATGCAGTCCCATGGTAACCGATCACCAACAGTAGGTTCATATGCTACTTGTTTCTCATGATTCTGGAGCCCATGTTCACCATTGATTTGCAATCAGGGTTGTCCAACTCCTCTAGGTGGATCCTCTATATCCTCCAACCTGGTTAAATTGTCGGACATTCACTTTTTGTCCTCTCAATTTCGTAAACTACACCCGCGTCATGAGGAGGCAGTGAGTAGGACTTTGTTGAAGTGGCTGTATACGCGTGGCCATGTGAAAGCAATTCGAGAGGGAGATCGGATTCGTGGCCACGTGACAACATTTCCCGATTGAAGTCTTTGTTCACTACAAGTTCATCACATAGTAAATTCATAACTACCGAAAAATGAATGAAGAATTTAATTGACTGAAAGGAGTGATTCATGTAACTCTTTAATGTCAATATAAGAAATTCATCTGTAAAATATGATAGTCAATGAATCCCCCCCCAAATGCCCTGGTACAACCGAGAGTGGAGCGAGTTCGGTCTTCCTCTCTCTCGAAGTGCTCTCAGAGAGCCTCGCGCCTACAACCACTGCCAGGAACATCCTACTCACTGCCTTCTCACACCAGGGGTGTTGTTTACGGAATTGAGAGGACGAAAAGCTAGTGTCCGGCGCTTTAACCGGGTTAGTGGACACGTAGAGTTCACCCAGAGAGTTGGAAAATCCTCATTCCAAACCAATGGTGAACATGGGCTCCAAAATCCTGAGGGAACAAACGGCGTACTAACCAATTATTGATCACCGGCTACCATGGGATTGTATCTCCTTACAATGCTCCATTGCCTTGTGGATCAGACCTTCAGGTCGAAGGCTCTGGGTGTGGCCCCATAAGAAAACCACCTGCTTCAGTCTGCGCACCCGGACAGTATCACAGCCGTCAGACAACTCGAATGATCTATGTGGCGCATATGTAGTTGGAGCCTCTTTGTACCAGTATTTGTGTTCAAATAAATGATAAATAGTAAAATAATGTATCAATGAATAAAAAATGAAAAATGAAAATATAATTAACAAACATGGTATCTATCATATATTACCTTTTTTAAACAGATTTTTATAGTTGAACTATCATTATTTCTAAAATACATCATATGATTAAGTTGCTGAGCAGATGTACGAAGAGCACGAGCTGTTCGAAATGTATCACCACGTGAATGAACAAATACCATCACCTGTAATATACATTTTTAAAAGACAAATAAATAGTATATGCAATTAAATAGAAATCTTTTTTTAATAAAGAAATAATTTAATAATGGTGGTGTTTGATCAAAAAAAAGAAGAGAAAACATGACTATAATAACTGAAAGGGTAATTGTGTTTTTTTAATCCAGAACGATGTGTAGGATTCTTATGAATTTTGATAGAGTTTAGTTCTTTGAGTGGTGGATGATTTAATTGTGAAGCTTTTTTGTTCTTCTTAACATGCATCATCACTACAAGCTTCAGGTAAAAGTAAAGTATTCAAATTTTTCCATAATATAGCTGACAGTAGAATAACTGGAAGGGAATGGAATGGAATTCTATGAACAGTATCAGTTTTCAGCATGCATGTAAACATGGCTAATCTATGAATGTTATCCAACATGAAACTTAAGTTTGTAGCTTACTTCCAAATATCGAACATTAAAACAAAGAATAATTGTTTTCTAAAACTGAATTCAATCCCCGTTAAGGTCATGGATATGCACTGCTATGGATACGATATTAAGACAAAATAGTTGCCCAGTAATTCTGGTTTTGATGAGTGTACAACTAATTTCAGTTTCCATTCTACACTATACAATTTCCAATAAATCCCTAATTATATTACAATAATCACAATTTTATATAAGTGATTATCATTTTCACAGATGAAATCACGAGTCGACCAAAGCTAGATCACCACTGAAAACAAGGAAGCACTGAACAGCAGTTTCGTCCTAGTACGGGACACCTCGACAGTGCGCATCCACTGTGTGTAATCGTTCGAACACATCGAAAAAAAATGCCTTAGAATGATTCAAATTATGTTCATTAAAATTCAAGTGAATACAATATAGTTAATTAAGAGTGAAGAGATGAGGATGGAACAAAGAAGTTGAATATGGAATTTAGTCAGGTTATTTTATTGCTGTATCAATTACTTTGGTTCCTGTTATGAATAAAAGATCAATAGTCTATCAGTGTACTAATCAACTATGCGGAATTTGATGAGAAAATTACAACGCTTCATCCACTAATCAGAATCAATGTAAAAGCTGGGACAGATACAGAAATCAGTGCAATTTATATCATGACTAAAGATGATTTATATATATCCCATTGCTGATAATCTTGACTAAATATTGATCGGTCTTTATTAGAATATGTACATCCTGTGTGGATTGCCTTAATATAGCCAATTTTACAATTTTTCTTCAATAGAGCAGATGGATTTATGGCTAGCATTGGTGTTTAGAACGCGCGTTTCGCCCTATCTAGGATGCACACATCTCCCTGTGTTGGCATTCACACTTCAAGCTTCACATACCGAACACATTAACTATCCACTTAGCTACTGAATCCGAATAACTAATAACTACATCTAACAAACAAATAGTAAAGAGGAAGAAATGGCCATATGAGATTCCACTGCAATTGATATACCACAAATATATTTGAAAAATATTAGTATTGGTTAATTTGAAAACCATAACATTGTCAATGGAAAAACTGACATATATTTTATTGCTTCTTTTACCTGTTCACCTTGTTTAACTTGTTCCAAAACTTTCTCATAACAAATTGTACTCATATTTAAATCTTGGACTTTTCGATTTGATCCACGAATACCAATAAATGACATGGCCAATGGTACAGGTCGAAAACGTGAATCGAAATAGAATAAACCACGTTGTAAATTTACGCATAGAAATCGAGCCACATCGATATAATTCGGTAGAGTAGCTGATAGACCAACTAATCGGATCATCGTTTGTGAACTTTCAACCTGAAAGGGACAATAACAACAGAGACAGAAATAGATTAAGCAAAAATATCAACTTACATTTTGAATGAAAATGTTATGCCAAGTACTGAGATAGAATTTCCAATAAGTTTTTTTATAGTTTACATCATGGAGCGTTGACAGTCATACTCCCCAATAATGTGAATCTGTAGCGTCTAGTATTATGTCGAGCCAACATAGGTTATTCTAGCTTCTGAACATTCCAATTTATTAAGTCTTCTTCAGTTATATATTGACCTTGCTAATTATTCCCTCATTAACCTTGACTGTCTTTATATAAGCACATGTGCGTGTACCGCTTACTCTATTCATCACAGGTCTGTAGCTTATTTTTATCTGGTTATAAATATTGGGTTACGTTTGATCAAATCGAGTTGGCACACTTGCATTCTTCGTTTCGCTTTGCTTACCTATCTGCACAAACGGGTGCTTGAAATAAATCCATCCAACGAAACCTGTAGCTGGCTTCTTATTAGCGCCGCCACACAAACGGCGTTAGCCTAGGTAATATACGGAATTAAATGAAACATTTATGCTCATAGTATCCGAGTTGGGGTCAGATCAACGGACCACTAAAAATCCGCAACACTACTAGGGATCGAACTCAGGATTTATGGGTTCTACGGCGAGCGCTTAGCTTTCAGATTACAGAGCCAGTGTTCAGTGTTCTAAATGTCGAAGTTTAATCAATTTGTCAGTAAGTTAGTCATAACAAAGTAAAACTTAATAAACGAACTCATCATTTCAAGTTGCCATACCCTATTGGCACAGTGAAATAAAATTAACAAGGAAAATCCCAGAACAGTAGACATAGTGACGGTATTAATGGCGATAAAGAATTTCGGCATCGAAGATATGATTTGAAAATATGGACTTAATGAAAAAGAATTTGATAGGATAGTTTCTGAACTAAAGGGAGCAGGAAATACAAAGATTGAATGCATTTGCGTCATTGAGAACGAGTCGCGTCATTAAAATTCTCCAGTCCTGGGTTAAGATAATCGCGTAGATCGTAACCAAATAGTTTTCACCTACCTAAACGGTTTAGTCCGACAGCCCCTGAACTTCGTGGACTTATGCAACCTTTTGAATCGAACTACCCCTGAAGGTTCGTGCATTGACGTGGATAATGATCTTGAATACACAACAGAAATCCGTACGAATCAGTTCACGATACTGTGCAATCAACTTTTAAAGCAATTATTGGGTAACTGCCCCACACCTTACATCGTCGAACTCCAGTGGTTAACAACATGGAGTGACTTCGGTTAGACAACCACTGAAAGTTACCCATGGGCCTGAAGATTCTGGATCCCACTTCTGGTAAGGTCATAATAGGACAAAACAACTGTCCAGAACTTCCTGGTTTCTAACGGTTATTTAACTAAAATTATTCTGTGGTGTAAAACAACAACAACAACAAATATTTATCGATATGTATATCTATATTATTGCATAGTATTAATAATAACTTACTTGTCGAAGAGTACGTGCAACTAAGGCTTCAATAACAGCACCACGTTCTTCATGTAATAAATGAACTTCATCAATAATAAGTAGTTTGACTAATTTAACTAAATTGGCATCCCCAGTACCTTTACGTGAGATAACATCCCATTTTTCTGGTGTACTAACAAGCATCTAAATTTATACAGTGAATTAGAGTAGAAACATTTGTTGTTATAAAGTATAAAACAGATTAGTAAACTAACTAGATGAACACTAACTGATTATGACATTATTTTTACTACTGATATAACGAATGAAAAAAACATTCTGTTTTCTCAAGACATACTACTATAGTATGATAACACTATATTAAAGAGGAAGAATGTATTTGTTAAATCTCTAATGTCTCACATCAACTCGGCGCCCAAAGTTTGTGAGACTATTAGTTCAAATTTAGACGAAAGTTCTTATTAGTAACAATACAATCGATAAACAGGATTCTACTATCATTAAACAAGACATTCCATCGATAAGACATGCGCAGACTGGGATCACTATATACTAAATACACTATTCACGGTCAAATATAAAAACTAAAGTATTTTACAGTCTGGGGAATACTTTACTCCACACAATTACACTCAATGAGTGTAGAGAACAAATCAAAATAATAGTTGACTGTCTATCCGTCCATGTTCAGTGATCATACACAAAATCATTTTAAGAAGAAACACATTAAACATAATTCGAAGAAGAGTGAACATCAAATCTGAGATGCATGAAGGTACATCCAACTGATGAGTCCGAAGTAAATTGGAACGCGCATCCTACATTCTACTGCTAGTCATTTCATCCATCTATGTAAATAAGTAATTATTTTTTAAAAAGAATTTCATACATTTTAAGAGATAAACATCTATCAGAAACTAATATATTTATCATATTATTGATTTCTTTACCATAGTATCAATCATATGTGGTAGTGAATGATATATGAGTGATCACTGAGCGTGGATAACACCCCAAATGCCCTGGTACGGCCGAGAGTGGGGAGAGTCAGCTCACCTTCTCGAAATGATCTCACATGGCCACGCGCCAACAACCACTGCCAGGAACATCCTATTCACTGACTTTTCGCGGCGGGGGTATTTTTTACGAAATTGAATGGATGAAAAACAAATATCCAACCCTTTAACCGGGATAGTAGATATAGAAGATCAACCTGAGGGGGTTGGACAACCCTCATCCCAAACCAATGGTGAACATGGGTCCCAATATCCTGAGGGAACAAATGGCGTACGAACCAATTATTGGTTACCAATTACCATGGGACTACATTTCCTGACGTTGCTACACTAGCTTATGGATCAGACATTTAGGTCAAAGGCTCCAGGTGTGAGACTCCCTAAGAAAACTACCTGCCTCGGTTTGGGCACCCGAGCAGTATCACAGCCGTCACAAACATCAAATGATTTATGTGGCGCATATATATTTGGTGCCTCCTTGTACTAATGTTTATTTGTTCAAACAAATATTAATAGTTGTATGTTTTATTATTCTTAGCATGTTTTCAGTTTATTATTCACAGTCTATTCACCCTATTCACAGCCACTTTTGGCTTGATCATACATAATACTTTTTTTCATCTTATGATGTGATGTGGTTGATTATGCTTTTATATAAGCTACGTATGCTTGGAATACGATATTCGTATACTGGAGGCCGATGACTGTGTTCTGGACTCAACGGCCAGAACAGGGAGAAATTCTATCACATCGAGGACCAATAAGAACTAATCCGTTGACTCAAGGTTATTAGTAGTGAAGACGATTCCAACTGCTGTTTTCGCCACACGATATTAGACAGGGTCATAAGTCATAACAAACGGGTTCAGACTCTCAGTGTAAATCATTGACACAGAGATAATGGTAAACCCAGTTGATGAGTTCTAATTTTCGCATATAATGACTTACTTATAATTTCCTTATGAGTTCTAAACAAGGTAAACAAACATCGTAAATTCCACTGATAGCGCCTATCCAGCCTCACTAAAATATCAAGATAGTTCATTTTTGTAAACAATTAAATTCAGACTCCATAAAATTTATACAAGATTTTACAAAAATTAAACAGACTTCTCGAAAAAAGAAAACAAACAATATACGTAGGAAACCAAATACCTACCTGAGTTTCAAGTAACTCTTGTTTACTTAAGTGCATATCACCAGTACATTCTCTAACATGTACTCCTAAAGGACTAAGACGTTTTGAAAACGTATCGGCCATTTCAGCTGCCAACGCTTTCATTGGAGCTAAATAAACAATCTGAAATAAATTCATATTACTATATATACATATCAGTAGTATACAAATTTCCAAAATATATTCAAAAACAAAGAGTATTTGAGCGGAAAATTGTTTACAATAAATTCGTTACCGTGCTTTACACTTGCAAGTTTATTATTATTGTGTTATATTGCAAGGGACAACATAAGATATGCAAGTGAATTAAGCAACATTATATGTTAAAACAATGATAATCATAGACTAAATACCTCAGAAAGGTGTCATTTATAAATTAGAAAGGTTATTTACAAAAGGTTAGAACGGTTAGTTACATAATCAATTTCATAAAAACAATGAAAAAGTCCGACATTGTCAGTGAAATAACCATTGATTTAGAAGCCGACTTAAAAGGAGACATAGCGGATGGCAATTTATGAACACGGTAACCTGAACAATCTATTGAAAAGACATTCAACTCTGCCAAGTTCCATATGATTTTCTCAATCAAACCAGTATTTACACAACAAATCGATGACAGATTACCGATGATGAACTCCTCCATATGTGGATACCAAGTCAACTGATTCTATGGAATTAGTTACATAGGCCGTACTCAGGTTTCATTTTTGAGTTGTCGTGAATAAGTACTGAAAGGATTTCGAAAATATGTCACGAAATGTGTACAAACAACACGATTTTTTCTCACTTTTTATATCATAATAAAACGAATGAACCTTACTCTGCTTTCTATCACGTTCCAAACAATCTCACTAAAGGAGTAAAATTACAACTCTAAATGGTAAAAACCAACGGGATCAACTTTAGGAGATTCAACTTCTTATTCCAAAAAAGGTATATTTAGCCGCAGTGTTTAGCTTGGTCCACGACAACCTTTTTTAATAAATAATATTGTATAATTCACTTATCCATGCCATATTTTAACCTTTGTAACATAATAATTATGGACTAGTAACTGTAGAACCTAATGTCGAAGTTATGGGAAACAATTATCCGTTCAATTATTCATCACCTATGAATATAAACATGTAACAAAAAAGCTTAGTTGATTAAGTTGAAAAATACGAGTTTAGCATAAACTGCTGGAACATGAGAGAATGATGGTTCCGAAGCAAGATGGAGAATTAAATTTAACAATTCTAACATTAGACAACATAGAATAACAATTTAAACCAGTAATAATCTTTTATAAATGTTCATACATTTGATGTTTGTTAAAATAAACTAGGTTCTGTATGTTGTGACGGGAAGTACCCAAAATCTGATATTCATACATGGTGTGCTTGTTCTTGCTCTTTTCAATACATAGTCCATCGTCTTTCTAAAATTGTTTGGGAAATTCCCAACGGATTTCTAACAAATGCCCTGATACGGTCGAGGGTCAAGGAACACAGCTTTCCCTCTCGAAACGGTCTCACATGGCAACATTGGTGCAAGGAGGCACCAAATATATATGCACCATATAAATCATTTGATTTGTGTGAGGGCTGTGATACTGTTAAAGGGTCGGATATTCGCTTTTTGTCCTATCGATTTCTTAAACAACACCCCCGCCATGAGAAGACAGTGAGTAGGATGTCCCTGGCAGTGGTTGTTGGCGCGTGGGTATGTGAGATCATTTTGACAAGGCGAGCTGACTCTCCCCACTCCCGGCTGTACCAGGGCATTTAGGAACTCCTATTTCGAGATCCAGTATATTTGTAATTGATCCCTGACTATTTAGTAAGAGATGTCAAGTTTGCCTAGTCCTTAACTGTTAATCAAATTCTGTTGATTAAATTGCAGTCTAGTCTGAATAACTTGACATCCCCTACACTATGTTTTGATATTAGGTGGTTGGAGGTAGATAGTTGGAAATCTTAAACTTATGTTTCGTACTGATTAGTAATTGTTAGCATGTATACTCGCACTGTTGAGAAAACTGATGACTCTTATGGGATTTTAATCTCAGTCACCGAGCTTCACAGTCTCAAATATTATCGCTGAGCTATTCGGTCCAGACACCAGTTTCCTTAAGACATATAGTTGACGATTTCCAGCGAGCAAGAAGCCTATTTCATGAAGGGTGTACTTCCAACCACCTAACAGATTCAGACATGTTATACATTTCTGCAGCTGAAAACCCGTATCATTAATAACGTAACAAAATTAGTAGTTTAAATAACCAAAATTGAAATGCAACAATTCAAATGATAAAAGCTACTTACTTTAAACGCTTTCAAGTCTAAAACATTATCCTCTTTCATATAAGTACGAAGTAATTGAACAATAGTAAGCAGTGCAACATTTGTTTTACCCGCACCAGTTGGAGCTGAGATTAAAAGATTTTCTGATGTATGATAAGCAAGTGGATAGACGACTGACTGGATTAAATTTAATTCTTTCATCCCATGAAATACCATTTGACCAATCTATATAATTAACAATAAAATACTGATTAGTTAAAAGAGAGATGATCGAACAAATAAGTTGTAACGTTATCAACTCTATTTTGTTGTTTATACTGTAGTGAACGGGAACACAGGCGGAGACAACCAAATATATTTGGACACGAAGTTACAGAAACGCTTAGCAAAATCTGAGAACCACACAATCAAACTGTTCATTTGCAAAATGTCAATCAATTGTCTCAAACTGGAGATCAAATTGATTGTCATTGTCTGGCACAATTGCGTTTAATTTCGTAAACTGATTGTGATTACATGGTTCGTACCAAAATTATGACAAAATGTCAAAAAAATGAAGGGTATTATGAAGACAATAGAATCTTAGGTTTTGCATTGTGGACTAACTTTGGTTAAACACCTAATGAAGACCAAGAAGCAATGGATAAATATTTCATGCGAATGAGATGAATATGGCAAGGAATGAAGCTAATAATGACGTAATATCGCGGATTGGTTCGAACTGGAAATTTAAACCACTGAATGCTAATTTATTGGAATTGAAATTAGGCGCTCGCTGAATGACCTAAATGTCTTGGGTCCGATTCCTGTTAGCATCGTGTATGAGCATCGTTGAGGAGCCCCATACTATCCAGTGCTTCTCAGTCTTTAAAATTTGCCTGACCAAAGTTGTTCTACGTTATAAAAATTTAAAATGAAGGGGATTTAAAAACTATCTACACCGCATTACCAGTGTTAAGTTTGTTTGCATCCTCTCCCCCTTTTTTCCACTGGCTGGACTCATTTTTGTGTATTGCTTTATACTACTTGCTCATATTCAGTAACCAGTTTCGTTTATGATAATTTTCGAACGCATTTCCTCTGTTGTATGATATCTGTATTTATTAGTGTAATTACGTTCCCTCAAGCCTTTTCAAAGTTGTCCCTAGCTTTTTAAATCCCGTGAATCTTTGCTTCAGCGCGAAAGCTCCCATTTTATGTGGTCTTGGTTTCTATCCTGATTTTTCGTAGTCATTATTGACACAAAGCACGGATAACAACTTTCGGCGAGACTCTAATTTAGGGACGAGCCAATCAGAAGCGTATGAGCAATTTCAATTATTAGCCAATCAGAAGACAGTTAGTATAAAGTAAAAATATATTATAAGAAAGTAATGAATTACAGTGGATATTCTTCTTTTACATGATTTAAAAAGTTGTTAAGGTTTGATAATGGTTCAGAGGATCTGGATTCATAATGCATACGGTATAGAAACTCGTCCATAGGGTTAGGGTTAGGGTTGTACCCTCTCAATAAACACCTGCTCGAAAATCCGCTGTAAACCGATCGTACGTTAGCATCACGTGTTGAACTTGGTTCCGTGACGTTAAAATTGCTCAAACGCTTCTTTTTGGCTTGTCCCTAAATTAGAATCTCACTACCCGAGCTCTAACCCTAACCCCTAACCCTATCGCCGAGTTTCTATACCGTATGCATTATGAATTCAGATCCTCTGAACCTTTATCAAACCTTAACAAGTTTTTAAATCATGTAAAAGAAGAATATCCATCGTAATTCACTACTTTCTTATAATATATTCTTACTTTATACTAACTGTCTTCTGATTAGCTAATAATTGTCAAGGTCATTTAGGATTCGTTCAAAGGTCGTCCCTAAATTAGAGTCTCGCCCAACTTTCATTTGTACTATGGCATGTTGTAAATGATCTTTATGTTACCATTATAGGAAACCTTTCTGTCTCAAGACTTACACACATGTTAACTACCGTTGATACCCTACAAGTTGAGTCTTGTAAACAACTTATAAATATATTTTAATGATAGAACCGTTCTTTAGATAAATCATTGTGTTTTGAACCTAGGCTTCATACACACACACACACACACACACAGACATATACAATAACAATAATGGTGATGTAGTGGCATTGGACAATAGCCACACAATCCACAAAGCTGTGAACACGAGACTACTCAGAAAATAAATATTCAATATTTAACGCCGAGAAATACCTAAAAATGGAGAAGGCGCGAACAATGAATTGAATGGACTGGAGTTGATCGAGTGGCATGGCTCGGCCATGCAGGCGTGGTCTCTATTCATATTAAATATATTGTTCTTTCTCTAACCTAACCTCGTTCTTCATCATGTATTGGTAATTGATACGATACAGTGAGTTGGCGTAGTCGATGGTGTGACTTCCACGTAAGATCTTATAGATTAGGCAGTTATATCATGACGAATCTACAATTTTAGGATTAGGTCTATTGTTAGAGCAGTACTAATATCATAGTAGACCATAATTCTACATTGGTGAGCCCAACTAAAGAAACGCAACCTAATATTATTAATCCTTATTTCCACTTCAACTTTCTCGATCGATTTTATATTTATGTTAACCCTGTATTCTAATAGTTCTCTGATTAATGCTCACATGCATTATCGTAATGTTATATTGATTAGTCCTCATGACAAACTAGCTCAATCGATAATAAAAACTGGTCGTCTATATTAACTAATTAGCTTTGATGATTTGTTAACAAGCTGTAATAGCATTTACATGCTTCAGCGACATAGTCTTGTTTAAACATCAAGCTCTAGCAAATATGACCTGTAAATAGCGTAAATATACATTGACTAACAATGCGATCAAGGACTAAATAGTTATCTGGATCTAATTCTCAGTGTTCCTTCACTTAACACCTCATCCTGTTTTAAACGATGCACTATCCTGTAATATCTTTTCTTCCGACCACTGCCTGCCTAATTTCATATTCTCGAGTTCCATTGCCAAACAACGAGGATGACTACTCCAAAAACATACGGTGAGTTCCAGCTATAAGTTTTCTGCAATCATAAGTTCATTTTAGATGGCACACACAATTATCTGGATTCATTCAGTTGTTCTGATCAGAGCGAGTCCCAAAGACCTCAACAGCATCAAGCACCCTGGAAGTGATTGCCATACTGTATGTTTTATTCTGGATGCTTTTGGATCATTACTACTCCTCACGAATGGCGTTATATATGTCGTCCACTGAATAATCTAATTTTCAAAAATAATCCAGGCGAGTTCAACTATTTTACTTAATGATTTTTTTTACTAACATGTATATGTTTTCCGGTTCCTTTTGCCACATATTTGTAAGTGTCCCTAGGCTAAATGCCGCAACTTCTTATAGAATGTTTATAACGCATCATATTCCTGCCTAAAGTTTCATAAGCAGTCTGGTCGTGTTCATTATTTTTAAATTGTCATATACGTCAACAACCTGCTTGTTAACCTGGCCCGTACATGCGTTGCACTATATCTTCATGTCTTTTAAATTTAGAAATCATCTGAATCGCCTTTAACAATTATAAATAAACCCATCATAGCTGTTCTTTCTAGTCGTATTTGGGTTTATGGATTGGTTTATCATATTAGCAGCCTAAAATGCGAACATAGTTTAGATAATAAGATAAAAAATTTAAGTACTATCAACTGCACTAGTAAAATAACTAAATCCCCAGGTAGCTGTTGGCTAAACAAACGTTTGAAATCAAAACTCCGTAGCCTACTAGAATTAACTGTAAACGAATATTTCTGAATTGAAAAATATAATTAAATTAGGCGTCTCGGATTCCTTAACGTTGTAAATTTCTGATAATTTCGAATCACATAAAGCAACAATACCTATTTTTCCACTGACTAATCCTCAATCAACACTATAACTAGTTAAACATAATAGTTTCAGGATATCGTCATAAAGCATTGTCATAACTTGACAATCACGTAATATGATTGATAAAATTAATGAAACTATTAACGAAATCAGTCAACAAATTGACTTATAACTACCATTAAATGGTGTTGTTTTCTTGGTATCTTCATCCATCACAGATGATTACAGTATGTTTCTCTATCAGTTGCTCATTCAATAAATATCTCAAAACCTTGTCAGTCTAATTGATGGTTTAGCGACACAATCATGCATGCAAATAATCAGTATAAGCAGTCGAGCAAATCTCCTGCAAACTGAAAACATCAATGTCGAATTTACCCCAACACTGACTAAGGTTCAAGCCATTGTCATAGACATGAGTTGGGAGTGTACCTCCCCTTGGTTACAACTTATGTTCTCCCTGATAATCACATGAGCATCACTCACTATTAATCATCTTGTAAAAACATATTTAGCTAAATACATCTTGCAGCACCACATCACTTCGTAATATGACACATAGGCTTAACTGATTTCAATAACTTATAACCACTATATCTCAATTAAATCGTATTCCGCCTTATGATAAACTGCATACTTGCAACTAACTTGTATGCATCATCAGCCGTCAGGTATAAATATGTATAAATAGTCTATGGCAACTCAGAACATTGAGTCTAGAGCATGTCTCTTACGAATACACTCATGTTTAACGATTTGTTCTTAGCTATCTGTCCAAAACTCATATAATTATCACTCATATATTGAAATTTTCTTTTAATAACCATTCATGTGTATTAGTAGTATTACTAAATTCTATCACGGTCAAGTAAAAATAAGGTTGAGAAAATCTCCCCGTAACTAAATAAGCCGTATCAAACTAACTGGAACACTAGTTGGAATTCTTCTCCACGGTATACTTTTGTTCCTTCAGTTAGCCTACTAATACAGATGCAATTGGAATTCAACTCATATGGACAACTTACCGGCATAATCGTTATTTGATTTCATAATTTAAACCAAAACTAATACCAATATTAACATTTCTACAATATTCATTATTTTAATATTTCTAAACACAAAATAATTACTGCCTATAAGTTAAGTTATTAACACGCATCGTTTTATTATTATTATTATTGTAACCCCATTTTTTTATAGCTTAAATAATCTTCACCCAGATTTTCATTTCAAGCGTTTTAAACATGAAGGCAGATATTTTAAAATTATTACATGTATTTCCCGACCAGATGCTGCCGCTTTCTTTTTGATTTATCTTTCAGCTTACCAATACCCGGAGGATTCTTATTATCCTTGGCAACCTCCGGCGCGCGACGATCCCATCCAATTTGGTATCGAACCAACATCACGTTGATTCTGGTGGGAGAGTAGTGTAGTGGCATTGGACAATAGCCACACAATCCACAAAGCTGTGAACACGAGACTACTCAGAAAATAAATATTCAATATTTAACGCCGAGAAATACCTAAAAATGGAGAAGGCGCGAACAATGAATTGAATGGACTGGAGTTGATCGAGTGGCATGGCTCGGCCATGCAGGCGTGGTCTCTATTCATATTAAATATATTGTTCTTTCTCTAACCTAACCTCGTTCTTCATCATGTATTGGTAATTGATACGATACAGTGAGTTGGCGTAGTCGATGGTGTGACTTCCACGTAAGATCTTATAGATTAGGCAGTTATATCATGACGAATCTACAATTTTAGGATTAGGTCTATTGTTAGAGCAGTACTAATATCATAGTAGACCATAATTCTACAGTGATATTATAGTAATGATAATTGACTCTCACAACTTACTTCATCTAAAGAGCTAATTTTAACCCGCTTCACGTTCAGTATATCTTCCGGCGGCTTAGCGGATAAAGGAAATTCGACTTGATCACATAGTGCCAACTGTTGATATTTCACATTTTCCGGTAATAAAAGCTAAGAAAAAAAGAAAAGCCCACATATATATATTTGATTGATTAATTTTCTCACTCCCCATTAAATTCGAAAACAATTTAGTTTGGAAGTCTACATACGGATAAAAGCTGTGTTAATGGTATTTATTACCAAGGTCATTAAATGTTCAATAGGTAAATGAAGACAAAATTTTGGTTGTATTGTATCTTCTGAGCTAAATCGTTTAATTGTGGAGCCTCCATTATCGTTTTGAAAAACAGTAGAAACGCTCACTTTGAGTACAAGTGAGTTACTCCACAGTTATGCCACAAATGTTATATATTAATTGGCCGATTGGCTGTGGCTTAACATGTTCTTACATTCACATCAATTGGATTTACTGGTTTACTTCTGACCATGTGGTTGACTGACCTTCCATATAGGCCGGTAAAATGAAACTATGTCAAAGTGTCTATAGATTGCTAATTGGTTTTAATGACAGGCCTCTAGAAATTCAGTGGCATAACCAAAGTTTTGTTCCGATTCACAATTACAGCACCCATTCAATCGAATTCATATCTATCATTGTCCACCCTCAATGGTATCATTAATAACACATCATGTTGCCTCACTGCTAATGTGTGTTTATATATGCGTAGGCGAAGCGTAGTGTCTTTTTTTCAGTGTAACATTTTTCGCAGTTAGGGCAATATATTTGGTAGATGTTGGATTTGTCTTATTATGTTATTGTTTTTTCAGTCTACGTAAAATGTAATAAAGTGATTGTGTTGGTTTGTAAGCGTCGTTGGTTCCAAAGGGCTTCAGAATTCTTGTAAGTTTCTGAAGAACTTATCACATATGGTAAGACGATTTATTTTTAAGTTAACTTTTTGACAGTATGTCAGATTGCTCAACATTTTTCAATGAAGTTGATGGAGTAGGTATTCTTACTCAAAACAGAAAGATGATGAATTTCATCGATTTTTCAAATAGTTTAAACCTACTTTGTGTCAGAACACTATACAGTTTGTGAGTTGATTAAACAACGATCACTGTAAAAAAGATACAGACAATTCAGTCTACAATTTGTTTAAGACTAAGTAGGTTGACATGAATACATAGCAAGTTTTAAATGAAACTACCTGACATGAAGGTGGTTCCCCGTCTTTCTGCCTATACATTCGATACAAGAAGACTAAGTATAAGTCGTTATGTAAAACAAACAAATTATTAACGCAACGATCGATAGTGCTGTCATGTTATATATAAAGAATACGCTATACATAGGATAACACTGAGTCAACTTTCACTTATAGTAATACATGACCAGTACACACTGACGTCAAAGTACATTCAGTTGAAAATGAAATCTCAATGGTTTGAATCATTAATGCTATTCAACATACCAAACAAATAAAATTTGTAGTGTATGAGGGAAAAGTGAGTAAGAATGGGAGAGAAGTTATATGTGCTTACTTTAGAAGTATCTGTCATAATAGAATTTTTTCGTAATTTAGCTGATGCATCATAAACATGAGGTAAATCATTATCATTTGACTGAGATCCGGATGATCGATTATTCAAAGCTTTACGTAAACGTTCCATGGTTTTCAATGCATTCTCTTCAATTCTTGCTTGACGTGTATTAGACGCAGTCAATGGATCAGCGAAAAGTTTTTCAATTAATGAAACATTGGAATTGTTTACATCATCATTTTTAATTTGTTCCTTTGAAAAAAAAAGAGAAAAGAATGACGAAAAATAATGTCTAATTTCAAGCATTGTTGAAAAAGAAGATAGAATAGTGATACATTTATTATCAAATTTATACATGCCACCTACTTGATCTACCACAATGCTAGTTGTATAAAACTTCAGATAAGTAACCGATAGCGCAAGCATAGAAGATTAAACCTTAAAATATAATTACACAAAATATCTATGACAGTAAAGTTGTATCATTATTGCGAACCGAAGATTCAAAAGTTAAAAACCAACCAACTTTCAACTATATTAATTACTGAGGTGATAAAGAAAACTTGAAGCTTAATTGGATGCTTTTGGTGTCGTTGAATACGAGGAAATAGAAGATTTAATTGAGTTTTCATTATCATTTTGAACAACATCATTAATATTTACCTTGTGTGAAACTGGATTTGTAATTTAACCGTTGCATAACGACCAAGTACTTGTCGCTGAACCTGAAGGGTTTGATTTCGATTTCTAGTGGGATTATCGGTGGGCATTTAAGAATAGTCCTACACTAGGAAGAAACGGGTGCCTGATGAATCCTGGCTTTCAATGGTGTCCCAACAACTGAAACCTTAATCTGTGACAAATGCGACTTATGTGCATTACATCACGTGTGACATAAATTTGGTTTTAAGCAAAACGACCTTCTACAGATTAATGAGCAGTAGAAGATAATAGCAAAGTATAATACCTCGTATGTAAATCAATCTTTGTTAACAGGTATAAATGTTTGAAAACAAGAATGCATCTCGCATAAACTCAACAGTGTACATCTGACTTACGGATTGTATTGCATCATTCTGTTCAGAAGATCCTTAAAAAACAACAAAATAGGAAATAAAAATAATAATAACAATAAATAAGCTATTCGAAAGAAAAATTCTTTCTTACAAGTTAGGTTAATTTGTTTACAAAGGCATAGTTAAAAGGATGTCTCAAATGGTTGAAGGTAGTCGGCAAGAAACCCCGTGTTATCAGGCCAAAGATTGGCCCAATTTTGATAGATAGATAGATAGATCAGAAAGACTACAATATTTTTGTGTATAATTTATAAATTTTCACTATGATTGTTACTACCATTCAACTTGCTTTATTTAGGAATATTATTACTTACCTGTCCAAGCTCTGTTCTGATTTTGAGGACTGTTTGTTTGAAGCAAAATGTCCTAAAAATACTAAGCACTAAGAGTAGTTGGGTCGTACAAAAAAATTTAACACCATGAATCTAAGTTACTAACCGGTTGTTACTTGTCAACGAAGTGTACCTAGAATCTTGAGGGGACAGACTATTTCTATAGAATTCAAGCCCATGTCTGAGACGTAAACATTAAGCAAGTAGGGCTGTGACAATTAACTACGATTGATTGATTACTGAGTAGCGTCCAATACAATGTTCGTTTGGTTCGTTAGTCCCTACTTACTGATCAAGTTGTAATTTTGCCACTAGTTCAACTGACTCGACCGCGCATATTTGGTAGCTAACACGAAGCCCTGTTTTCCCTAGGTTTCCTGATGACCGGCAAATATCAGCAAGACGTATCTGATCGCAGTAGGATGCGGATCCCCATCACTAATTGGTAATGTCTCTGACTACGATAATGAGTGATACCGACTCAGACTTCACACACACCATCATTACTCACAAACTAACAGGTACATCTTGTTAACGAGTAACAAATAGTAAGAAACCAAAGACTAGGGTTTACCGTTGATTAGCTTCTATTACCTAACACCAAGATATAGTGAATACCATATCTTTGAATCACTGAGATTAGCAGCCACATTCCAACTTGGTCAACAGAATCCGATCAGCACTAACAAACTAGACAACACGACGTCAGTTAGTAACTTTATTATTATGGCTTTTTTTAACCCACGTCACCAATTTATGTCCTATGTTCTAAGACTAAATCGCTAATCTGAATACCAACTTTTATGATCTTGCCCCCATGCTAAACCAATGACATGTCAACCAGTACCAGCAACCTTGAGTCAATGCTAATTCTCCATCGGTCCCCAAAATAGTGGCTTCTCGTCTTACCTGTCTGTTCAGTTGAGAACACAAATACTGCCCTCCGTTATATGAATCTATATTTTAGACATAATTGGTTTATATACAAGCAGACCACACAGCATCACACCATAAAATAAAAAATAATTATTACGCAAGACCAAACAGAAAGTTGCTGTGATTATAGGAGGCTGTAACTAGTAGATTAAGAATAAATTAAGGATGGTAAATTGTATAACAGTAGTCAATAGGTTAAATGAAAGCTTATGATATATATATATATATATATATATATATATATATATATATATATATATATATATATACCTTCCGTTGTAAAATAAACATTTGTCCACTCAGCACGGCGACTGATCAGATCAAAAATCACATCGACACAATCCAATCCAATCAATTCAAATAACTTTAAACAGAGAGAATATAACAAAATATCATCGAGGAGTGTTATATGATAAAAAATAAATGCAAATATAAAATAAAGATAAAGGATAAAATTAACTAACAAATATAAAACGATAGATTTGCTTGTTATATTTATATATGGACTAGGATAATATCAGAGTGTTTAAATCGAAGCAGGTGCTTTCCTCAGAAGACCACTTCCGAGCATTCGAATCTGAAGGTATACTCCACAATACATTGAAGCAGCGTCAGGCTCATACGCTAATCAGGAACCTGCAGCCAATATACACCATTGGTTTGGGATCAGGGTTTCAAAACTACCCTTGTTGGGCACTCCTTATCCACCATCATCATTAATACTGTTGTTACCTCCTCTGTCCTGGGATTCGACCTGACAATTTTATCACTATGTTAATGAAGTATGGTAATTTGAGCCGTTGCAACTGACTGAATCCGGTCTAAGAGTCAGATGTTCGCTTTCCATCGTCTTACTTTTGTGAACAATATTCCCGATGGACGAAGGGACGTTCCTGGCAGAGGCTATGAATGCATGGCTGCATTCAGGTATTTCAAGAGGAAGAGCAGATTCCTCACCATCGGTCGTACCAGACCACTTGAAGGTAGAAGTTTATGATAACCGGCTTTGAAGTATAATGCCTTTTCGTGAGGTTTGACAACAACACTCAACTGGCGATAAACAGATAGATGAAGTTGGATTTTAAACCTGTAACCTACGGGCTGAAATCAAAGTGTTTTAGGAATTATGCCACCACTCAACATGCAAAATATCTTCACTATCCGAAGCTATATTATCGATCTCCGACCAATGGTTATGATGATCACACGGACCCTAGACAAGTAGTGTGTACCTACCAACATAATTTAAACGAAGTCAATAGCTCCGTGAACTAATGTCATGTATTGGTCTATTCATTCATAACTTTCCTTCAACTTCCACACAAGTAAATATCAACCGTCGAGATAGACGATAGTTGAACATACTTATTAATACATATTTCGACCACCTTAATCGATAAAAACGTACTTATCTCATTAACCAATTTTTATTAAAAATCAGGGTTATAATTTATTTAAATAACGTCCAAGTTGACATGCCTGACTGTATAAAAACATGTTAATTTATATCCAATTCACAAAATAAAACTCAGTTATTAGTTTGATTTGTAGGAACTTTGATTATCTCGTTGTGTTAGCTTTAAGGTCTTTAATTAATCAATCTCTCTATTAGTATGTGTTACACCCTGAGAGGATTGCCTCGAATGTGCGATTTAAATACTCTTTTTGTAAAGCTGAGTAGTGGTTAATACAAGCCAACAGATAACTGAACTCATGAAAATTATGTTAGGCGTTTGTAGAGAAAAGTTATGATGTTTAATTCACTTGTAGCGGTTGCTACTATGTTAAGCCCACATAGGCTATCCTAGTTTCCGAGCAGACTAAATTATTCATTCTTCTCAAGCCACATTTTGACTTTATCAATTATTCACTTATTAACCCTGACTGTCTTCATATGATCGTGTGTGTGTTAATTACTTACCCTATTCATTATGTGTCTGCAACTTATATTTGTTTGACCAGAAATATCGACTCACACTCCATTAAATGGGAGTTGGCTCACTCGCCGACACCACGCATCGTTTCGCTCTCTCCTCTTCGCTTCGTTTCTCTGGTCGTCTGTCTGGTTCAACACTGTGTGAAACACGCGTATTCAAACTTTATTCTCGTATTCGCATTTGAGTTATTTAATTCCGTTATTCACTAACGTGAGTTAAGTCAATGATTATATACGAGGGTAGCCGGGATGTACATTTCAATAGCAATCATCGTCCGATCTAATTGGCTTCAAAACAAAGAGCCACTAAGCATTGACCGTTTAGAAGCATGAGGATTTGACTGTAGGTGAATACGTGTACATTTGATTGACACGTCTCATATACGACGAAACTGTGCATTTTGGATTTTACCACTAGCCAGATAATCCTATTTTATTTAATTTTAATTAATCTATGATTTATTTACCTCTTCTTGTACTTCATCATTTGATTTGGATGAAGCCAAAATATCAAAAATCATTTGAATAAATTGCTCTTTTGTAATATCTAACTGTTTAGCTTTACAAGATAATTTCTGTGTTAAATTAATTAAATTAGTTGCTTGTAACGATGTAGAAGTAGAAGAGGAAAAAAGCGAAGACGATGTTCCAGGTTGATTAGAATTTCTTTTTTGATCTTGTTCTATAAGTGGAGTAAGAAGAAGTCGTCTGAAATAGAATAGAAAGGAAAAGCGATTTATGGCATAATCTAACAAACTCCGCTCTATAGTAATGATAATTACTATGTGTTTATTTGTAATCAATTTCCAGAGATAATTTCCGGAGATTTAGTGGGAAGCTAAAATCAATAGGGCTTAACCACGGCGGAAATGAGCCACTTACTAACGGATGACACTAAAAGATTATTAAGAAACATCGTGAATTGATTGAAATTAGAAGTGCAAACCAATGGACGACGAGTCAGTAGCATAAATGTTATGCATTCGTTGGAAGACTTGAAGGACGAACTCCCATTGTAGCAAGTGAAGTAGATAGGTTGGTTCCCAATGGTTGAAAATACGTATTACTAAACGGGTTTGCGAAGACTTACTTTTTACAGTTAATATCACCGACTGATTTTAGTTAAACAACCACTGAAGACCAGGAGGCAATGGGAAGCTGTTTTGTTCTATAGTATGGGACTTCGCAGCAGTGATCACCTATGAAATCGCTACTGGAGACCGAACTCAGGATCTTTGTTCTCGAACATGAGCGTTAAATCTCTAGAACGAGGAATTAGTACCCAGACTTTTACAAGTTTAACTTCAATCAATCCGTAATATCGTACCACCAACTAATGTACTTGGTAGCTGACTGCCTCACTCGATATGGTTGAACTTTAATGATCACTGCTTCGTACTAGAACGCCCTGATGGGCTCTTGGATGCGCAGTTATAATTCCCGTACTAGAAAGAAACAGCTATCCAGTACTCCCTGATTTTTAGTGGTTGTTTAACTGAGATCAGTTCATGTCGCTAAGTTAAGCCACCACTCTATCTCGGTACACTGTAGTTGTTGAAAAGCATGTCTTACAAATTCGGAATAGAAAGTGAAACATCAAATTGTTTAACGCTTTCAATGCTCAGAGTGTACGCTTTTGAAAAGTCTGTTTCACAATAAACTCAAGTGTCACTATTCGTTGCATATCAGAAGTAAAAAATCAACAATGCAGTGAACCAATCTTTAAGATCTTTAATGTCTGATAATAAAACGGGACTCATTTTCAATTAACACATTTACCAGGTACTTAGGCATGAGCCACACTCTAAGTGCGAGGACTAATGATGTTACCCGGTTGTTCAAGCCGAAGTAGATACGGTGAGTGGTCGAACCTGGGACTTAGTAGTTGAAAGTTAAACGCCCTAACCATTAAGCTACCGCTCCACAAAGCGAGAATTAAGAATAATAATTTCTGATTCGTAGATAACTTACCTTAATGGATCAGTTATTTCAGTATCATAAAAACCGTTTGTTTCTTTTATATCCACATTTTTTTCTTTCACATTATGAACCACCGAAGATTTTTTACATGTAACATTTTTCATGATAATTTTCTTATGTTTGTGAGTATTGGTTGATTTTGTGATGAACTCATCACTTTGATAAACCACACGACAACAACGGAAAAGTTGACTAAACTCATCTTGATTGGTTGTTTTAAACGGATGAAACGCTAGTATCCCACCTAGACATTTACATACTTCTATCCAAGCAATATCAACATCATCAGCACCAGAACCACCAATTTTACTCAAGATTTTAGGTTTTAAGATTTTGACAGAACAATGACGAGGTACGTCCATCACAGAAACGCCTCGATTTAACAATTCCATCAACTGCTCACCCATATCGCCTAATAAAATAAACATTGCACATGTACCAAGCTCTTTGATATTAACTGAATCTTTTCCAACCAGGTGTAAACAAGATTCCCTGAAACGATCGATACGTTTATCAAGTTCAGATTTTAGATGTGCAGAATGATTAGGAGGCAATAATTCATGAAATTTCTCTCGAAGACTTTTACCCTTTATACATTTCAAATCAGCATAATTTCTTTCTCCAAGAAAATTTGGAAAATTTCTGCTAGAACAAGACTGAGTGGAAGATTCATTTAAATCTTGTAACGTATTATTATTAAATCCCAAATTAACCATCTGTCAGGTGATCTGTTAAAACTAAAAAAATGTATATAGGATTGGTGGAAACTAAAGATTACATTTACTACGTAAACCGATATCTCATTCTCTAAAATTGGACATCAACTCAAAACAAAGCTCTGCCTACTTAAAGTACATTAACAAACTAATTTCCTCAAGAAATATAGTATTTTAACTTCCCTCATAAAAAATATCTATTTCACTTAGATAATAACCTAAGGCCAAACAAAACTGTGGTGATTGTATGAACTAATTATTCTTTTGTACTTAATGTTCGCCTAATTTCGAGTTCCGAATACCGTACGTTCATTTGTGCCTATCTAGTTTTATTGCTGTAAAAATCTCGTGAACTTCAAGTCCGTATAATAATTCAAATACTTCTAAACATCACAAACCAAAATGTGGAGTAACAACTAAATTAAGTTGTCCATTGGTATCAGTCTAGAAATACAATGGAGGCAACTTATTAGTCTTGGTAAGATTCATCGAAAAGAATTAAACGAGGTCATATGCAATCAAATGTAATGCAGTTAGGTTTTTAAACTAGATGATGCAGGACTACTTTGGTGGGAAGTAGGTTTAGAGGATAAATAACGTATATCAAATGCCTGAAATAAGGTTTCATGCATGGTTAAATTCACACAAAATGGGGAACTTTTTATGATCGAAACATTTATTTATTTAAACACATGAACATTGGTACACGAAAGCACCAAATATATACGCGCCACATAGATCATCCGATTTGTGTAAGGTCTGGGATACTGCTCGGGTGCCCAAACCGAAGCAGATGGTTTTCCTAGGGGGCCACACCCCGAATTTTTGGCCTAGAGGTCTAATCCACAATACAGTGGAGCAACGTAAGGAGATGCAGTCCCATGGTAGCCAGTGACCTACAATAGGTTCATACGCCATTTTTCCCTTAGTATTTTGAAGCCCATGTACACCATTGGTTTGGAATCAAAGTTCTCCAACTCCCCTAGGTGGATCCTGTATGTCTACCAACCACGTTAAAGGGTCGGATATTCCCTTTTTGTCCTCTCACGTTCATAAACAACACCTCGGCCACGAGAAGGCAGTGAATAGGACTTCCCTGGTAGTGGTTGTATGCACGTGGCCATTATATATATATATATATATATATATATATATATATATATATATATATATATTAGTTATCGTCAAAGGTTGACCATGTTTTAACAACCAGTGAGAACTGAGACGCGATGGACAGTCGCTACGTCCTCATCAATCAATGTATATGACTTTACCTGCGGCCGAGTCCAGGACTTCCAGTCTCAAAGCAAAAACTGTCAAATCAACTGGAGTTTTTTTTCTGGGAAGCGATAGTAACTTCTGCCAATGAGCCTTGTCGAGTGGGGACAGATAACTGCCCAAGAGAACAAAGTCTCCGATGAAATAACGCTTATTGACTTTAACCAGGCTATTCATGAAGTACCCCAGTTACGGTTTATGCCAGAACTCTTTAAACCTGCGATAAAAAAACGCTAAGCTTGTTAGCGAATTTGTACACGATAGGGTGAAAAGTGATGGTGAACGGAGAACTATATGAGAAACTCCTTGAAAACCCCTTTAAAAACTGTTAAGGATGGTTTGTTTTAGTACTCACCACTTTCAGAATCGTAACAAAGCAATAGAAGACATACATAAAAGCCTGTAACCTAGAATCGTGCTTTTTCTATGTGACCAACCAAAGTACCTTAATGTTGGTACTGTTATCACATTGTCCTAAAAGTGTTCTTAACAGTATATCAAGACGTAATTACGTCCCTAATGATCGGGACCCAATCACGGAATTTTGGGGAAATTTTTGTCCGGTTCAGGTCAATTTTGAAGAAACCACTATAGAAAACTTTGGGGAAATGGCACAAAAACCTCGAAATTCCCCTAGGTCTGGGAAAAATCTCAAAAATGTTTGAGTAATTTTCCTCCTCAACATTCTTACAGAATCTTATAACACTTTGGGGTTTCTTCCCAAGAGAGTGCGATTAGGGACACTAACCATAAAATCTCAAGAAGCCTTGAAGTCTGGAAAATCACCTCCAAAGAATAGATTCATGTAGTGTTCAGTTCTTGATGGATTTGTGCCTAGCCTTGAAGTACTTTGTGGGTTGCGGTAGTGAAAGTAGAGTGAGAGAATTAGGAAAACAAAATAGGAAGTGAACCGACGACTTGCATGAATGCAGAATGAACCTACTTTTCAGAATGTAAGCTATAGGTTAAAAATATCACAGGCGTGAGGTCAAGATAAGCCAATTATCTGAACTAGAAGCTGGTGACTTACTGGTCTAAATACCTTATTTTCACGTTATTTCAGAAGTCCGCCTGACCTTCAGTTCAAACTAGCCTCAAACTTTGTTTGTATCCACATAACTTGCAATGTATTCGACATTGTTTAATTTTTTTTAACTTTTAACTCTCGAATAGAATGAACTCCTGCCCATTAGGCTTCTGCATCTATTGGTACTAGATTGCCTGTTCATACGGGTCGGGACCTTGTTACATGAAATAAACAGAAGTAAATAAAGTATCAAGAAATAAGGGTGACACACTGACCTCGGTCTTTAAGAATATTCAAATGGTTCAAATGATTGTGGAATGAATAGAAGAAGCTCTCGCTTAACGGGCTTCCGTGTCTAGTAGCAGTGGATCACCAATACCTTGTAGCGGTAAATAAATCCCCAAAATAAATAGCCCTGTACGTTTTCAACATTGGATGCTGACCATATGTTTTAGTGGACTCATCTAGCTGAAGGCGCTCGGTCAGCCATCCGCACCAGATCACGTGTGGTAACGCCGTGCTCAACATCTACCGCAATCGCTAGCCAGATTAGATCAGAGAATTCCGATATATTGGTTATCGCCAAATACACTCTTCCGATCTCCTCGACTCTGTCTTTTGATTTCTCTAGGTGGTTACGAATTATATTAGAAGGTGTTACTGGTAGAAGCGTTGTCAAACACTGAATACCTGTGCCATCTTCAACCTCGTGGCAGCAATTGGTAAGTCATAGTAAAATATTATCCATGATCCTTAAGAACAATTCAAGTTGCCTTTTTAAAAGACTCCTGGGAAGTCGCTTGGACTAGCTCAGCCGGCATCGAATTCCAGCATTTGATAACTCTTAAGGAGTATAAGTTGTGTCTACAGTTCATTCTGATATGTTGTATCTCCAGCTTCTAGGTGTTACTCCTTAGGTTTGTGTTAGAGCTAAACTTAAGTAGGTGTTTAAGAGGATGTCCAGAAGTGTTAAGGATACTGTAAGCCATAAGAAGATCAACTCTAAGATTCCTATACTCTAATCGGTAAAGGTTTAGTGAGTTCAGGCGCTCTTCATAAAGCTTGAATCTGATCCCCAAACTGATTTCGTGTCTCGCCTTTGGATACGTTCCAGAGCATCTGCAAGATGTCTCAGATGACCTATTTTACACTGAAATGTTAAAGGTAAGTCCGTTGTTGTCTGCCGAATTTTGAATTCGAGTCAGATCCTCCTGAAGTGCCTGTATATCGTTTTGATTGCGTACCTCTCTCCAGAGTCTCACATAATCAGCAAAAAGTAATAACTCAGACGATACCCGTTGCGGAAGATCGTTTTTATAAATCAAGAAAAGAAGTTTCAGTACTGAGCCCTGGGAGATCCCACTAGGACATTCCATAGCCTGAGAGAAAGGGAAGTTAACTCTGACCTTAAAATGTCGATTTTTAGATATGAAGTGAGCCAATCAATTAGAGGTGATCTGATACCTAATCGTTTGAGCTTACTGATAAAAGATATATGATTGACCCTAGCGAAAGCTTATATGAAGTCAGGGTTAATGACTTCAACCATCCCTTCGCGGTCAAGGATGATTGTCCATCTGTTCATCGTGGTCATCAGGTTGATTATACAAGAATGACGCCTCCTGAAACCATGATGTTGGGGTGAAAAGAAGTTTTAGCTTAATGGATAGTCATGTACAGCATCGCATATCAGGGACTACATGATTTTCGAAGGTATGGAGAGAAGAGCCACCGGTCGGCAGACTGAATGTTCTCTGCGTTGAACTCCTTTGAAAATCGGTGTGGTGTGAGCCGGACTCCAAATCTCCGGTAGTTTGCCTCGGCTTAACGAGTGTGAGAACATCACGCTAAGCGGTGTTGCCAGGAGTGAAGCTGCTCCTCTTGATATAGCAGAATGAACCATATACGGCCCAGGATTAGCGTCTTATCTTAGATGCTGCAGATTCCGGTACACCAAGTCAGCGATCTGGTTCACCTCGGAAGGTCCTGCGCATTTACAGATAACCTTTCATTAGTATGGTTAATGTGGGTCGGTTGAAATGTCTGAGAGTAATGTTCATCCAGAAGGTTAGCGACGTCACCGTCGTTGTTGGTCGGGCCATTGATACCTAGCATTTGGAAAACTCCCGTCTTGGCCTGTCGAAGAGAGGCTTCATGACGGAATAAGCTTTTCGGATTGGAGACAAGTTTATCCATAAGCTTTATCTGGTACTGAAGCCTGTCCTTTCTTATTACCTCTGTGCATGTGTTCCTTATATGTTTGTATTGCCTGTACACGCCATTGTTATCAATTCCTTTGTATTCTACCCAATAGTACCTTTGAGGCTTAGAAAACGAAGAGTGTGCTTCTTGACGATTGTAGTTTGCTTGCAGATTTGCGGGGTCATCTGAGGAACAGACCGCTTTTTAGCACAAAAGATTGTGTGCAGTAGGAAATCCTAATGAGCATCCATGTCAAGTTGAGAGTGAACATTTCAATCCACCTGTTGTAGATAGTTCTGTAGAGCTCACACATCCAACCGTTTGAAATCCCAGCACCTTTTGTTGGCGTTATGTTTTAGCTCAGTTTTGCCGATGAAGCTGAAGGCTGGGACGGCGTGATCGCTTCTACCCTGGGAACCCAGGGTTGAGAGGTTATCAACCGGAAATTCTTCGTTTATAAATACCCAGTTTAAGCGGGCTGGCGTCTGATTGTTTCTCCAACGAATTGGCGACTCCACATTTTCGAATAATCAATGCGTGACTGGGCGCTTTCAGCTAGGGTTTGTCTAGTAAGACCCATACGGTTGGCATCAATGTTGAAGATTTACGGACCTATTTATCTGAGGGACTTATCGACCACTAAGGAGTATTGTCACTTGATTACGGTTTGTTCTCTTCGAAATCCCGTTGATAGGTCGGTCGCACTTTGTTGGTGGTTACTGAATCTATACTTATTGCAGAGTACAGGCTGATGTGCCAAGAAATGGTAAGGCCAGTGAAATGTTACTGAGCCCTGGTCAAATCATCCGGAAGTCATGTCACAGAATATCGAACAGATCCTCGTCTGCTTTCATGGTCGCAGACAAACAAACGCCATCGACTAGCCTATACGGTGGTTGTCATACTTTCGTTTGTGCCTACTTCAACTAATATATTCCTGTAATAACGTCCTTTGTTTGGACAGTCTTTAATGCATCCACAATACTTATATACGACGAAGGGGTAATCTTTGTAAGGTGCTGACCGAGAGGTGTGACGTTGACGTCAGCTGTTAGTCACGCCATTCACGTCTAGCTCAAGTAATCCCACAATCATTCGACAAAGACAATCTACAATGGTGACCTACAAAGCCATTTAACCATACAATATTTATTCACAGTGATTATTGGACTCACTGTTTGATGTTTGGTAGTAAAATAAAAATGTGACTGACCATGTAGCGCCGACAAACAACGATAATCTTTAGACTATTAGGTATGTGATTTTCCAGGCTGCCACTGATTTCTATACCGGACTCACCTAGCGTGACTGATCGTAACTTTGTTGAATAAAGCACCATCTAATCCGTTATCTGAATTTCCATTTTGGGTCGTGAATCCTGGTTCTGACATTACGCGACTAGTCTTATTATCGCATTAACGTACTATCGTATTATCCAGGCAATAGTGAAGAAATATTCCTGATCATATGTTTTATCACTGTTATCGTACCCAGTTCAATTAGAATTTTCCTGAGGTACAACACATGGTAGTCATAGCGGTTTTCATTCACGTTAGATATCTGAAAGACTGGATCAAAAATAGGAAATTCCGACATCTCCCTTCGACTCCGAGAAGTTCGGAATTCTTTCAGGCAAATGAAGAATAAACTCGTTCTGCCAAAATCTTCCATTTATCTCATAGTATTGCAATCTATAGATATTCTAATGACACGTAGTATTTTATCAACGCTAATTAATACAACCACTTAAATATGTTTTGAAGAACATTTGTATTGGAGATCCCACTTAAAATTTTCCTCGGTTATAAAGTCGAAGCTGAATAAATACAATACTAATATGACATCAACCTACAATTGTATTTTGACGTAATGCATTAATGTGGTACTAATTTTTACCACAAGATCAGAAGTTGAGCAGGACGAAAAAAGAAGCACTCAAAATTCATGGTTACAATAAAACATAGGGTTCGGTTAGAAAACCTGCTCCTTTGTCGAAGACAAGTGGCAGAAATAAATAGGATGTTGTATAAATGAATATAAATACCACGTGACTTGGAAGAAAATATTGTCTTAAGGCCGCTAATATTTTAACTATATAAATGAATTGACATGCCAGTTTTCAGTACTTCTCTGCATATGGTGATAGAAGCAAAAGTTAGTGATCACCTTAAGCACGATCCCCATGCTGAACCACATGACTAAGTGAAGTCAGAGTTTGGCGAGCATCCCATGCATTGTGTGTGAATGAACTGTAGTCCAACTGCATTGATTTAACAAGTACTCATTGGTCCACCATTACTGTGATGCCACTTCCTCAAGCTTGAGCGAACAAAGACTTGATTAGATTTTTAGTTCATGGCTTAAAAACGATTATACAGTAATCTAGCAGTTCCGGAAGCCTTAACGCATTTTCCGAAACCTTTGAATCAGTTAAGGAAGCTTATCTTCGCGTTTTATGTCACACGCACCTAGGACCGTAATAAATCACTAGGTCCAATCAAATATTTGAAATATTATTGGAAATGCTGATGTTCTCAAATGTTTCAAAAAAGTGAGATTTATGTTATTCAGTGACCTTAACCTAATGTGTCTATTAGGGCAAGAAATGCCTCATCCTTATTCCCTTTCCATAGAACACAATGGGATTACGTTTCGCATACTACTGTCTGTATGACATCACGTCAAAGTCTTAAAATTATCGGAAGAAGGTTCACGAATTTGAAGTAAGATTCCTTTTTTCTAAGCACGTTGTAACGTCTTTCTGAACAAAGTACTCTTTGATCAATCTACGAACATTCTGTTTTAAAAAGCCGTACGTAAAAGCGTGTTCAGCGACCGACGTAGTCAAGTGATCTGATATTTCTATCATTGGATGCTGAATTGAATCGATAGATATTGTTTACTGTACAAGAAGTCATGGCGTTTTTTGTAATGTGCGTTACTTTACTCATCTACTGAGACATACTTATTTGTTTACAGGATCCCTCCTGAAAACATTCAATTTTCATCGTGGTAATAAGAAACAATTTTTTGTGTGCTTTTCAATGGAGTTTGAGATTATATTCTCATTATATATCAACTAAAAAAACTTTAGGGAATTTTTTTCTTATTACATATATGTAGAACAGGCTGTGTACTAACAATATAAACTTACTTTAAATCCATATTGATGGTAAAAATTATAGTTGATTAGGGTTGGATTAAAAAGTTAAGGCTTTTGGATTTCCCATAGTTAATTAGCAATTATAAATACTGTTGGTAATGTTCAGTCTTCAGTAATAAGGATAGGAGGTCTATCGACCTATAATAATCCTTGCAGTTTGTAATACTGTGGAGGTCCAATCTCTTTTTGAATATGTTAACAGCAGGTGCTGATATTACGTGTTCCGGTAGAGAATTCCAGTAATTCACTACTCGGTGCGAGAAACGGAACTCCAGACGTAAACGTTTTGATCTCGGTTTTGGAACTTTCTTCGAATGTATTCTCAAATGATCGGTCCTAGACGGAAGCAAGAGGTAAGACATGTTAATATCAAGGTCATCGTTCAGTATACGATAAGCCAATATTAGATCACCCCGTATTCTACGGTAAGATAACGGAAATAAGTTAAGGTGTCTCAGTCTGTCTTCATATGACAGACCAGATAGATCTTTTACCATCTTAGTACCTCGTCTTTGGACTCTTTCCAGCATATCTGCTTCATACTTGAAACAAGGACACACTGCTTGAATCCCGTATTCTAAATGTGGTCGCACATAAATCGGGTATAGTAATCTAAACATTTCATCGTCTAAATACTGGAAAGACCTATGAATTGACCATAATACCCTATAGCCTTTTGCAGCAGCAGCTTTACAGTGACTAGTGGCTTTGAGATCATTGCTTAATATGACTCCTAAATCTTTATAGTTTCTTACTTTGGGTAGCACGAGTCCACGTAGTGTATAGTGATACGATTCATCAGTTATTTAACTGCATCACTACACTAACACCTTTAAATCTTCATGCTTTCATACAGATAACGTCGTATATTTCGCATATAACTAGTTTCTTTAAAAAGATTACCTTGAAGTAGGACATCAGGCAGACATCAGTCCACTCAAAGAATGGTACATATATACAATTGCCCTCATTTTGCTTGGAGTTCAAGTAAATCTCTCGGATATATTTGTGCCATTTATAAGGTCTTTCAAAGTTCAAACCTACACAGGTCTTCCAGATGTTGGTTTTCGTGGTTCGGATGATATAACTCAGGCTTCATTTGTTTACGTCGTAAAAGTCCTTGAGATAGTAACTTAGGTTTTTTAATTATTAAGCGATTATTCCCAATAAATTCCCCTCGTTTTATTTATTCCTATGCGATGGATTTTGAGCATTTCTACTCAAAGTAAACGCTGGAAAAAGCTCTCATTCAAACTAAAGGACTTTCTCTGTTTAAGTGGTTAGGAAAATCCCTAGTGTTCTGACCGTACCATGTTATTGATCTCGGATTGTAAGTTGTGCCTAATGGTGCTCCCTTACCCCTATTGAATGACGACTAAGATTCAGTCTTAATAAAAACGCGTGTGATGTAAAGATTCCCGTCTTCATTTTCTTTTCTGCATCACACAATTCTCAGCTCTCATTGGTAACGGGTGTTGTTCAGCGCTTCCAGTGTTTTGTTGTCATCCTCAGTCAGGATTTCGACGTCAGTAACTGATCAAATAGGTTATTTCATGCATCAGACGTCTATGTAAAGTTTCTTCTACAATCTAGTAGTATAACTGTCTTGTTAGGCTATCTTCTACGAAAGGTAACTTATCATGTCATCTTACGCGTGCGTTTCCATCTCTCAATTCTTTTCTAGGACAGTGGGTTAGATTGATCATTGGGATACTTCATTTTGTCAATTAAGTGTATGAATAGACATTTTAATAAAACAGATATTTTTGCTAGTTGTTTCGACTGGATTTTGACTAGCTTTATATGCTTTGTTCTCACACTAATCTGATCCAACTGGGCTTTCAAAATAGAACACACTACAGAGACAGTTTGTTGTTCAAATAAAGCATATCAGGGCGCATGTCTGTTAATTTTATGGTAATACCAGTATGTTTGTAATATGCTGTTGGTTAGTAAACTAGATTTCAGATGTCTAACAGCATAGTGTAAGTTTCTTCTGTAGAAAATACATAAATTCCTGAACTAAATCAACTCAAGTTTACATGGTACGAAAGAACAAGGCAGAACATTCAATATGATCGTAATACGTCCAATCATGTGAATGCTTTTTTATTTGAGTCAAGGTATCTATTATATTATAAATGAAACACCTAATCATCCATTTATTTGAAATAGTCCAGTCAAAACTCTATAGTGATAATTGTTATTAATTTTGTTTATCCGTTTATATAGACTAAAGATGTCCACAACCGGGGCCAATGGGTCCTCAAAGTATATGGAAAAACTCAGGGAACTTCACTTAAGAGTGGTAGGTTCGAGATCTCTATTCGTTTATATAAAACATATATTCTTCTAAACAGCCGTAATAATAGCCTACGTTCTAAAAATAAGTTTGTTTATTTATTGCATCACATAAACATTGGTACAAGGAAGCACCAAATATATACGCGCCACATAAATCATCCGATTTGTGTAAGGTCTGGGATACTGCTCGGGTGCCCAAACCGAAGCAGATGGTTTTCCTAGGGGGCCACACCCCGAATTTTTGGCCTAGAGGTCTAATCCACAATACAGTGGAGCAACGTAAGGAGATGCAGTCCCATGGTAGCCAGTGACCTACAATAGGTTCATACGCCATTTTTCCCTTAGTATTTTGAAGCCCATGTACACCATTGGTTTGGAATCAAAGTTTTCCAACTCCCCTAGGTGGATCCTGTATGTCTACCAACCACGTTAAAGGGTCGGATATTCCCTTTTTGTCCTCTCACGTTCATAAACAACACCTCGGCCACGAGAAGGCAGTGAATAGGACTTCCCTGGTAGTGGTTGTATGCACGTGGCCATATGAGAGCATTTCGAGAGGAGAGCTGACACTCTTCTCTTAGTTGTACCAGGGCGTTTGGGGTGTTGAATCATCTTCGTGGTTATCCATACTTTATGCCTTTTTACACACATATGATGTGTATGCCATTTAACCAGTATATTTCTATTAATTTGCAATACTGTTAGCTTTTTAGTTAAATATCAATTTCTGTCTTAAAATCGAACCGACATGTATTCCTCAATTGTCTTCTAATAAATGAACAAGTATGGAACTCATCACTATACTTAGCCCGTAACAACAAAGATTATACTTGCATTTAAAATAATACTTAAAGATCTTAATTTCTGAGGGAAATTCAACAGCTTTACATGTTACGGGTCAACAATGTCTCATCATTTTAAGTTGACAATCCACACGCATACTGTGCTACACTAAATTTCATCGTCTTGCTAATCAAACACAGTTATGAAGTACATTATATTTATTCAATTAATTAGTCAGAAAATTCTTATATTAATTAAGTTTGTTTTGTATCTAATTGATATGAGCGTTGTGACCAAAACATCAGTCGTCAAAAGACTGGTATTTAGTTCAATTAAATTGTGAACATTGTAACACTAGGTTAAGTAAAACTAATGAGGACGATCGTCATATACTCGTCATTTCTAAGGTCAGATCCAGTCTTATGACAATCGTGTGAAACCAACAATTTGAAGCTTTCCAAGTAGTCAATCTGTCTATTTACTGTATTTTAATAAAAGAAATGTCACTCTAAAACGTCACAGTATGTACACAAGCCAAACTACGCTGAAACTTGTCAAATCTCTTGATATTCCCAAGCCTGCAACCTCGTAGTCTATAACTCATGAAAAAGTGCAGCAGTTGAATCTCTTATTGGTATTTTCGAGTCCGAGTATTCTAGTCCATCTACCACCTTATTACTTAACTTGACCAATAGGACTCGTAAACTAACAAGAGTAACCTTGTACACTGACGACATAATTTTAAATGTTAGTGGTCCGTCAATACAAGCATTTATCGCTCCTTGGGTTCGAATGAGAACACCGCAAGTAATCTTTTATCATTAAATTTAAAGTACCCAGCATATCTATCTTAAACACGTTGGTTTATACATATGAATCGTAGGTATGGGGATTTTATCCATATTTTTCCGTAAGTGGCCGAGATCGGATCAAACGGTTCATAAATAATTAATAATATTTAAGGAACAATATTTTTCTGGTTAGCGTTTTCAGACAAGGCTGCCTACTCTCCCCCTTCCTTTTTCTTATGGTGGTAGACTGGATTATGAAGACCTCGACATCTGAGGGAAAACACGGCATACATTGGACAGCTCAGAACCAATTAGACGATTTGGACTTCGCAGATGACATAGCCCTTCTATCCCATACACACGAACAAATGCAGATGAAGACAATTAGTGTAGCCGCAGCAGCCTCGACATACATAAAGGAAAAAGCAAGATCCTCAAATACAATACGGAGAACATCAACCCAATCACACCTGATGGCGAAACTCAAGAAGATGTGGAGTCCTTCACGTACTTGGGAAGCACCATCGATGGACAAGGAAGATCAAATGCAGACGTAAAGACAAAGATTGGCAAAGCAATGGCCCCATTCCTACAATTGAAGAACATATGGAACTCGAAAAAAACTGTCAACTGATATCAAAGTCAGACTCTTCAATGCGAAATGCAAGACAGTTCTACTGTACGGCGCTGAAACCTGGGGAACTACTACAACCATCATCAAGAAGGTTCAAGTATTTATAAATAGCTGTCTACGCAAGATACTCAACATCCATCCAATCAACTTCCAGCTGAAGAGAAAACTAGGAAAAGACAATGGGAATGGATAGGACATACATTACGGAAATCACCAAACTTCATCACAAGGCAAGCCCTAACTTGGAATCGTGAAGGGAAGCGGAAAAGAGGAAGGCCGAAGAACACATTACGTGGGGAAATAGAAGCAGATATGAAAAGGATGAATAACGACTGGAAAGAGCTGGAAAGGATTACCCAGGACAGGGTTGGATGGAGAGTGCTGTTGGGCGGCCTATGCTTCTCCTCGAGGAGCAACAGGCGTAATTAAGTAAGGAACAGTATGTCGTATAACAATAGTTAGTGAGTCCAACAGATGGGAAGATTCATACAATAACCCAGGTACATGTATAATAAACGTGTAAACGATAATAGTCTGTAAAACAAGTCCAAACGTTGCAATACTCCCAGTATTAGCTCCGTCAAAACATATTTCAATCACTATCACTACTAAAAAATAAATAAAGTTTTGCGAATTATTATACTACCGAACTAACGTGTAATATTGATTACAGTGATTGTTTATTATGATAAAACAAATTTGAGAGTTTCTTGTCTTTTTTTAGAATGAGGCTAGAAAATCTAATCATATTCAGGTTGTTGAAGAGGATAAGCGATCAAAACTTCCATCAAACTGGGAAGTACGACAAAAACGATTACAATGGGAAGAAGAAGATGAACTATTTAGATTGGAATGTAATCAACAAAAAATTGATCCAGATCGAATGCGTGCATTAAATGTTAGTGCTGAAATCGCCGATCGTCTTGAAATAAGACGAAGAAAAAAATGTAATACAGATGAAGGATTTTCAACATACGCTGATGCATCACATCGTAAATATCTTAAAATGACTAAACAGATTAAACCAGATTTGATTGCTTATCAAAAGGAGAAAGAAAAATTGTAAGTTACACGTGTGTTTGGAATTTTTATGTTATGTTGTAAATTTATTTTTATTGAGCCGTAATTCCGTAGGTTAAGGTGGTCAACTCTTAACCACCAAGTCCGAATCCCGCTCCAATCACTGCCCTTCATATTTTTGTATTATTTTTCAAATGGAATCTATGAAGGGTCCATATTTCCTATATCCCGAATGAAAGAAAATGCCATCTTCGTTTTTATTTCTTATAACTGTGGAAACTGTTACTTAAAGCAGAAAGGAAACTGAGATTTAGGCGACATAGGGAAAAGACAAATCTAATGAGAGAATAAAGGTTTTACTGATCTTCTGAAAGTTTGGTCACTCTAGTCGAATATATTTATTTAGGTCTGAATAGATTTTACTAGCATTGGTGATTAGTTAACAAATATGATATATAAACGAAATAAGGGAAGTATAAAAATACATTTTACGCAGAATCAACACGGTGTGTTGCATGTTAGGCTTAACAAATATTACACCAAGTTAATATAAAAGAATATTATACTGAACAAGTATCATACTAAAACAAATCAGATATTGTTCTAAACAGACTTCATATCAAATTAGAAGTACAATAAATAAACATCACATTAAATTAAAATAGTCTCGCGTTTTATCCCAATCCTAATGCCTTTCATTTTAACAATGCTACTTCATTGATAAACCGAGTGATATAATGTCTTGATAGTAGTAATAGTAGAAAAACTAACTACCCGATATTTGCTAAGTCATTTTTGACTATGACCCTTGGTCCTCAATGCTAACATTTTCGAGATCCGTTTCTCTCCTTCTAAGTGCAAAATGTCTCTCCAAAACTGGTCTGGGTTAACCGTTGAACTGGTGATGAGGAATAAGATAACTAAATACATCGACCACTTCACTTATCTTGGAAGTCTCATCAGCCTTGGTGAGTGGGTGTCTGACGAAATCTTGGCACATGTTTTGATAGCCCGTTTGGCGTTTGCCAGTTTTCTTCACTTGTGTCTTACACGAGATATCCGTCTACCAACCAAATAGCATATATACTACGCAGCAGTTCGTTCTGTTCTATTTTATGGGCTGTGAATCATGGTGTATGAAAGTAGAAAGTGTGCATAGGCTCCAAGTTCTTAATCATGGGTATCTTGAAAGCGTTACTCATATATTTTTAGACCAACATGTGATTAATGTTGATGTAAGACATAGTATACTAGGTAAAGATGGAAAGTCGGTTGTAAATCTTAGAACATATATATGTCTAGCCACCATCGACCTTGGTGAGTGATGCTGTTGTATATAACTAGACTAGAATGAAGATAGGGGCTACCAAACCAAAACGTGCCATCAGTTCATGAAGCTCATTGATAGATATAACCTACCTGGTTGGGCTCCTAATAATAACTGCAAATAATCAATAACTGGGTGTATGCAATTTAAAATGTCAATAGATTTAACTGCACTAACTAACTGTATGATAAACTACTGATTCGCACATTTGCTTCTTCCTGATATTTCACAGTTAACTCTATATGCTGACTATTAACTTTTAAATGGTTAAGATCATGAGTCAGTTGAAGCTAGACCATCATGGGAAACCTGGAAGCACTGGACGGCCGTTTCGCCCTATTGTGGGACTCCTCAGCAGTGCGCATCCACGACCTCGCCCTCTGCGAGATTCGAACCCAGGACCTACTGGTTTCGCGCCCGAGCACTTAACCACTAGACCACTGAGCTGGCATCCAACGGTGTTCATGTCTAACTTCAACTAATCCACGAAATTGAGCGACACATTCACCATTGTCTTCAGTGAGTTACTACCTCACAACAGACCTGGTTGAACTCCACTGGTCACTACTTCTCACTAGAACTCCAGGATATACCTCGTGAAGCCAGTCACTAGTGAGCATATTTTTGATTAATATCAGATGGGTTTTTGTGGAGATTGTAGTAATTTCAATGGTTAAGATCATGAGTCAGTTGAAGCTAGACCACTTTTATCATTTACTGGAGTAAAATTTCTCACCCTTACGCCTATGTGAGATTTTTACAAATTAGTCCTTGTGTTAATCACGAAGTCATGATAAATACCACCAGCATCAAAGAACCTCAAGGAAAACAATCAAACCTGGTCTCATCTGAATATTTATCATGGTTGATTAAGTCCTTTACAATAAACTGCTCATAAAGTATTCACTGTTTTCTAGGTTATACAGATGTTTCCTTGTGCCATTTCGAAGCGTATCTTGGGATAAGAGTCGGTAGTGCTAAGGTTAGGACAGGGTATTAGATAAAAATGACAAGTCGACTGATAAGCCAGTCAATCTTCAGCTAAGGTGGTAGGTACATGTATTATGTATGTCCGTCCACTGCCTAACTCGATGTGTAATGTTTGCTGATATACCAAGCAGGTTAGAGGCGGTCAAACCAAAAAGTGGAATCAGTCCGCCAAGTCGTTGACTATTGTACTGAACTGTGTAAGTAGATACAGACTGCTTGTTCGGGGTCTGCGTTATTGTTGTGACCAATGTTTGAAAAATTTGGGTGGCATGGTTCAGAATCAGTCTCACTAATGCAGGTACTCCTTAAATCCTAAGTTATAAAGCATTTCGTTGCTGTTTTATTTTACAACTATTTATACGGCTGGTTAATTCTATTACACTAGCATTTTTCTTGACAATTTTATCTTGCTATGCCGAGTTGGTGATAACCTGAAGCTAAACACGTACGTCTTTAATTCAACGTTGCTATGATTTACTTTCACAAAAAGAGGAACATAATGATTGATTAGATTAGTACTGTTATGTTTATTAATTCTAGCACAAACGTTTGTTTTTCTTCTTCAGAGGAGATTTAGCCTTTCCAACTGCTGATACAATAGGATTAACAGATCGCAAAGACACACCTGAAGCTGTTGAGCGTCTAGCTAAACAAATAATTGAACAAGGTGTCAAGCGTAAAGCTTACAGTCGGAGACGTCCATTCGATGCCGATGCTGATATTGACTATATTAATGAGCGTAACAAACGATATAATGAGTTACTTGACCGACATTATGGGAAATATACAGCTGAAATTAAACAAAACCTTGAAAGGGGCACAGCGATATAATTTATTTGGAAAACACTATGTACAGTTCTTGTATCGTAAAAGAATTCATCGCCTAATTCATGTTTATTTTGTCAAGAAGTGGGTTTGGTTTATCGTAACTTTCATTTCATTTCTACAAATTGTACAAGGATGCTGAATTTTTTTAAACATTTTTTGATTGAAGTTGACTATTTTTTTCGAAACACATATTAACAGTTGAAATAATTGCACTTTGATTTCAGTGTGACGTTAGAACTGATGTGTTGATTGTATTTAAATCACAGCAATTAGATGATAACTGCTAGAATTGTTCATCTTAGCTTCAGTAGAATCGGCCAAAAACTGTATCCTTTGGCATATGGTCCTCAAAGGAATAAAAACACATGAGTAAGAGATATTCTCAGAAATCAGGTATTCGAGATGCTTTAATCTCATGTCTATTCGTTCTACGTTGTTACTGACTGACTGACTATTCGTCTCCAAGGTTAATTGATGCTAATAATGTTGTGACATGTGGTATGCCAGAGAGTTGAAACTGATACATAATTTGCCTTGATATGAACTCAACTGGTCACTCAAGCGGAAAGAGTGAATGAGAAAGAAAGCTTACTGATCAAACCGAATGATATATTGCTTACCCCTGTTACCCGTCGTAAAGGAGCATAGGTCGTTCATCAGCATTCTTCATCTATCTCTGTCCTGGACAATCCTTTCCAGTTGCTATTCATTCTTTTCATGTCTGCTTCCAATTCTCGATGCAGTGTGTTCTTTGGCCTTCCTATTTTTCGTTTCCCTTCAGGATTCAAAGTTAACGTTTGCTTCTTGATTCCCATTATGTATGTCCTATCCACTTCCAGTGTTATTTCCTCCTCAGCTGGAACCTCGTTTGTTCTTTCCTTCAGCAGGCTGTTGCTGATGGTATCCGGTCAACGCACATTCAGTATATTACGCAGATAATTGTTTAGAAATACTTGTACATTTTTATGATGGTTGTAGTAGTTCTTCAACTTTCAGCTCCATACAATAAAACTGTCTTGACGTTCGTATTAAAGATTCCGACTGTGATATTAGTTGAGTATTTTTGAGTTCTGTATGTTCTTCAACTGTAGGAGTACCACCCTTGCTTTGTCAATCCTTGCCTTCACGTCTACATCGAGTCCTTCTTGTTCATCGATGATGCTGCTGACCAGGTACGTGAATGTTTCCACCTCTCCTAGAGTTTCTCCACCAAGTGTGATTGGGTTGGTGTTCTCTGTGTTGTATTTGAACTTGTTACTTTTCCCTTGTGTATGTTGATGTCTAGTGATACAGAGGCTGCTGCTCCATATGCATTTGTTGGTGTATGGGATAGAACGTCTAATTCATCTGCGAAGTCCAAATCATGTAGTTGCAACCAACCTGTCCATTGTATTCTGTGATTTACTTGAGATGTCCAGGTCTTCATAATCCAGTCAACCACCAGAACAGAAACGTGGAGAATAGACGGCCTTGTCTGACTTCGGTCCCTACTTGGAATGCGTCTGCCAGCTGTCCTCCATGCACGACTTTGAGAATCATATATATCTCCCTCGGAGAGTTAAGCCACCATTCGTGTTCCATCCTATAGGAATGAAAGCCATTTCTTGGTTAATCATGTGCACTTTACACTTAGCCGACTTCTGATTGGCCCGAGATGTCAGTTATTACTTTCGTAATGACACGATAACTATCCACCTTAGTAACTTTAGCAATTCTTTACGGCCGAAATCAGCTTAAAAACATGAGATTAATAAATAATTCTGAAGGTCACTCGTACTAACCTAGCAATAGTCACAAGTTATTTGGCTGATTTTGTTAAATTTAACTAGAAGAGGATCACCACTGTGATAGGAAATGACTAAATTATCATTACAGGATGTCGTGGAAATTGTTGATATCGAAGTTTTACATGACGAAGAATTGGTTGTGCCTATATAATCACTGAACTGCTATTTCATTCTGGTAATGCGCTTTCACAAGAGATCGAATATACAATCCTTAAGCCTCGTGGTGAGTGCTTAACTTTAAAATTACTGAGTTGTCATTCAATGACTGACATCTCTGACGTCAGCCCATTCGCGATACTACGTGGCCGCCATCTACTACCATTGGTAATATTTGTTTCATGTACAACAAAGTTGGACCCTATCAATCACGGCTTGTCACTAGAAGCCCAGGTATCACATTTTGACATCAGTTTGGTAAGCGTATGACGATTTTTATTATAAGGTGTTTAATTTAAAGTCTAATAACACTAGAATAAAAATTAACGTCTTAGGTTTTTGGTCATTGAAGTAAGGATTTTTGTGTGGTGTTCATTAAATCATAGGGTCATATGGTCTAAATAACCTTATCCAACAATCATCCATTATGCCACTTAATTATTCAGCACAAACTTCCCAATCATTTTTCCATTGGACTTTTGATTAGTTAAAAATGCGTTTGTACTTCTGCTAAGTAGTAAATTTTTGCATTTACATGTTAGGTGTTGTCTTCTGATATGTATGTGGTTTAGTGAGATTTAAGGTAATCGGAGGAACAGCTACTTGTTGTTATTTGTGTTTTTAGTTAAGATTCGCTCTTATCGTCGTATTAATTCGCTTGGCTATATTGCTAAGTGACTTCTGTTAATAAGAGCGTGTTAACGCGATATTTTTTCAAGAATCTCCTTATCCAACTACAAAGTAGGAGTGTAAACAACCAACAGGTTATGTAGATATCTGTCTTCTTGTGTTACTATGGAAGCATTAATAAAGAGGTTTGTTAATACAAAACTATAGGCTAATAAAACTACATGACTATACTGCCTAGCCGACGAACGACACGTTCTGTTTCCGAAGACAGTAAGGTGTGAAAGTAGTTAAAACACATTAAGGTTTATTTGATGATAAATGATTTGTAAGTAGTGACAAAAGGAATTAGGATGTGCTTGATTTTTAAATCTGGTTCCAACATATCGCACTTTTCGGCTGGTAGACTTGGGTTTAGTTGCCGTTCGAATGTTAGTTTCTTCTACAACTACTTGATATACACTAGCAAGGCATGTGATTAATGAAAAACCAAGGAAATGAGATATATATTTTGATAAAATAATGTATATTCTAGAAATATACAATGAAGAAAATCACATTTAAGATTTATGTTTCTTCTTGTTTCCTGTTCTTGGTCTAACTATATGAGCCTTGCCTCTTGTTGGTTTAAGGCCATGCTCAGCACGTACACCTTGTAAATAGCTTCTGCTTGGTATTTGATGATCAGATCGGATACCACAGAGTGCAGATCGACTAGTAACGTCATTTAATGGGAACACCACTGATGATGCATTGCTTAAATTACATTGGAATTCCAAAACATTGGATAGTTCTTCATCTTCAAATCCTAATAAGCCGTTAGTAGCTAATGGAAGCACTTTTGGATTTTTAGGACGGGCTGGTCTTCGGTCAGGAATACGTTGGTCTGCACAATAAATTGGTTCGTCAGCATACTTTCCACCCTTTGGGATTCTTACTGGTTGCTACGAACAAAACAAAATGACATCATTTAGTATATACTACTTACTTTTAAACCGCGCCGTCTGTGCACAAATCTTTTCGCAAAGTGAAATTCTAACTGGCCATCTTCGTGTAAAGTAACTGGGATTCGACGTAGACTAGCATGTCCACACCATGGGCAAAAGTAGGTGTCCGTACGTTTAGTAGGCCTGTAGTAATAAAATGGAGAAAAATTGAACTCAATTATATTAAAATCCATCAAGATTCATTTGCGTCAAGCAGGACAGTGAAGCGTGATGTGATAAACTCATTACTGAACAATATGCAATCAATCAAGTATTTTGCTCTTTCTCTTTAAATGTTCTCAGTTCCTAAATTCTATAAGGACTGTCACTAGTGTCTCACAGGTTTGACTTGAGTATATTAGTAAGATTTGAGATGATCTTCGCTGGGACAAGTCAACTACTTAGTAAAATAGTTCAAATCCTACAAATAAAACACTATCCCTGATGTTTAATGAAATCTTGACACGAATTCAAAAAATTCGGTTGGCTTTTACTAAATTGCGTTACCTGTGGGGTAGACGAGAATATTTCTGGTAACCAAAGGGCAAGTTTACTGTGCAGCAGTGTGCTTTGTTCTGCTTTATAGACGTAAGGCATGTTCGTTAAGAATAAAGGATATTCGTAATGTACTAGTATTCGACTATGGATGTTTTCAGACCATTGGTCTCGTATTTTGAGATCATTGAGTCAGACATAGAGTACCAGTTAGTCAGCAACAACGTAGAACGTCGTACGTACGTACATGAGTTTAAGTTGCCATATCACATCACAGATACAATTGTCGTTTCAAATCCCATAATGGTAGAGGTAGTAAAAGTATAAGCAGTAAACGAGAGGATTAGGGTTTGAAGATGTTATTCAAGGAGTATAATCCAGTGAAATAAATTTGGAAAGAGAAAAAACGGACATGAAGAATTCAGAAGATTAGAAGAGTGGATGCACCTGTACCACTGCAAACGATTTTGAGCCATGTCATTCAGGGTCTCTAAACATCGGTTGCTATCGACACCATAAGGTCCGCCCAAATGTCTTTCCTTTTCGTTTAGTTTACCTACTTGAGCACTAAAGTCACCAGTCACTATTACATCAGAGCGCTGTCAAGTTCTACACTGCACAACGGATACACGGGAAACTTGTCAAGTGAGCAACGGAAATACTTCTACTGAACACTTTGAGTTCGAATCAATTATAATTTAAACAAATAAATAAGTCACGAATGTGCATTAGTTCGAATTCTAACATCTGTGCAGCACGTGAGTAAATTAATAAGGTGTATTAGTACAGTAGTCGAAGAAATAATGGAGTCTGTAATGGTGAAAATAACTAAACATAGAAAACATAATTTGAAAAGTGAAGTGAGATTAAACGGTGAATACCCTTTCACTACGCGACTGATTTTTAGCCATGTCACCCAACGATGTATAATAAGTGATTATGATTTTATGATGCAAACGACATCTAGATAGTTTTTTATCCACCAACAGTCAATAATACCACGAACTAGTGCTTTGTCTTAGTTTGGCCATCCCCAAGCATTTTTACAACCTACTTCCACGCAAATCGCAATGGGGAATTTAGGCTGGTGGCAGTTGAACATGGTAATTTGAAAATGAAGTGGGTATTTACGAGTGATCATATCACCAGTAGACCACTTACAAACTTGGTCATTAGACCATTATTAATCAATAGGTAAATATAAACCATATGTTTCCTAGACTCACTTAAAGCAAGCACAACACCAAAGTAAATGTGTTCTTGGTTGACGAATACGCAAACCATTTATGCTTACTATGTCGAGACCTGCGTGGAAAAGAACATTTTGCATAGCAAAATCAGTTGTCAAGCAAGCTACAACGTTTGTTTCAACTTCATTGATTGGTTCCAGTATATCTCTAAAACAAAATACGTTTGTATCAAGAAACAAATCCAGAAAATTAAAATAAAGAGGATGAATAATTATTTATTCTACTGTATCTTGTTTATCAAATACAGATGTACTGCTGTGTCAGACAATCAGTTATAAGCAACGTACAGTTTATCACTTATATTTATTGGTTGCCACAACATAGCACAACCAGACAAATACCAGGGTAATAGAAGTAGTAACAGTATCAGTGGTAATAAAGAGCATTACGCTTAGATATGATTCGAGAAGGACGACTCTCCGTTACAAAAAGTATGTATCAGTTCTAGAGCTTAAAATGTAATTTTACTTGCATGCCCAAACTAAAGTAAACGGGAGAGTATAAAAACCTTCGATCTATTGGTTGAATTACTTTGCAGAATATTAGCGAAACTCGCACAAGGAAATATATAAATTAATGGAAATCTTCACAAGATCAGTGATAAATGCATGAAAAATTAGTGTTCGGGGAAATTCACTAAATGTGGCGACGCCATACATTTAATCTATCCTTGAGTCAACTGTCATAAATAGTGTTACGTACAATGCTGTTGAGACATTGTTATATCTACATCATAAAAATATTAGACCCATATGTTAGCCATTTAAAAATGTGACATTTGGCCAGTGCGTACCAGATTCAAATCTTATTCTGTTAGGCACTACCCTGAACCTTGCGCAACTGTATCGGAAGGAACAGCATGCAAAATTACATAGGTTAACTGAAATACAACCAAACACCATCAAAAAGGTTAGCATACGCAATTTTCCCTCCAAGCCCGAAATTAGTCATGGCCTTCTCATCAAAGTTATTTTCTGTTATCCAATCATCATCATCCGGTTCGGATGTTTCTGTATCACTGTTTTCAGATCCAGATGTTTCTGCCCCATCACATACATCAACGGATGGATTGCTTTTTGTGTTCGATTTTGGCAATTGAGAACGAGCTAAAGACCCAAGGTTACTGGGCAATGGTTTCTGACGGTATGGGTATATGTATAGTGATATAACAATGACTTACCACATCCTTAATTTTTGGTTCGCCGATATATCTTTTATGCAGTTCATAAGTTAAAGCGATCACATTAATATCTGTTGCAGAAAGAACTGACAGATCCCCAGTTTGTTTTGCAATACCTTTAACTATGATAATAACTAAGGTACCAGATTTTCTCGATACTTACTTATGTTAATAGAATTAGTTTCTGGTACTTGACAATTCAGGGCATATGGTAAACAATTCATATATTCACGTGTTTGAACATCTTTTATTTCAGCTAAAACTTGTGGTATAGTGTAAATACTTGCACCGAAAGTCTAGAAACGCACATGATGAAAGATTTTACGAATTTCACTTACCTCAAGACGTGTACGTTTTACAAAAGGTGCTGTATCAACAACAATATGTGACGTACGCTCATTGAGAACCATGAATAAAGAAGCTAGGGAGTGCATCCAGAGAAGGAAAGGAAGTAAACGTCGAGAAGTAAGAAATAAATAAGCAATACAACTTAATCGTGATATTAGTGCTTCATACTATATTATACTGTAATTTACCGTCTTAAACCCACCTTTTGGATTTCGAGCATTTTAAGGATCAGATGTTAATCAGTCAGTAACAACGTAGAACTTCGTACGTATGTTCGAGTTGCCACACCACATTAGCAGAGGTGCGGTTGTCGATTTAAATCTCATAGTGGTAGAGGTAGTAAGAGTATGAGCAGTAATCCGAAAGGAGTATAATCCAGTGAAATAAATTTGGAAAGAGAAAAAAAGGGACATGAATTCAGAAGATTAGAATTCGGCAGAACACAAAGAGTGGATGCACCTGCGCCATTGCAAACGATTTTGAGCCATGTCATTCAGGGTCTCTAGCCATCGGTTGCTATCATCTCGCGGTCCCCAACCAGGTAGTCTACACCTACCAACATGACTCAGTCCACTAGTTAGTGACTCCATGGACTTGTGTTATGTTTTGGTCTGGCTGCCCCTAGCTTTCTTCCAACCTACTCCTACACCATAAAACATCGCACTTCGGGGCAGTCGGTTGTTGGGCATACGTAACACGTGTCCCAGCCATCTCAACTGAAGAAGTTTCACTACTTCATCAATTGATTTGCCATCCTTATTCAGTACCCGTTTCCTAACAACTCCATTACTTATCCGGTGGTCCCTGGATATACGAGCGATGTTTCGAAGACATCTATGATCGGATACTAGTAACCTACGAATATCCTCTACTCTCACTGGCCATGTTTCACTGCCATAAAGTAGGACGGAACGAACAGCTGCACAGTAAACACGTCCTTTGGTTGATGGATGGATATCTCGCCTACGCCATAAATGACGCAAATTGGCAAAAGCTAGTCGAGCCTTCTGTATCCGTGCTGAGATTTCGTCACGCACCAGACCACAATGGCTGATGAGACTTCCAAGATGAGTGAAGCGGTCGACACACTCAACTACTTCACCCCCTATCATAAGTTCGAGTGTCGATGCAACCCAATCCTGAAGCAACATTTTGCATTTCGAGAGAGAGAATCGCATACCGAATATACTTGCATTGTTGCATATAGTGGTCAGAAGACTGCATTTTGTCAGCATCTTCACCAAATAGAACTATATCATCGGCATATTCTAAGTCAACAAGTGGATCTCCCGGTAGAAGTTCAACCTCTGGAAATTTAGATGAGGAAGGTGATATCTCTAAAAGCATGTCTACAATAAAGTTAAACAAGAATAAAGTGGACAACCCTGACGAACACCACTTGAGGTGATCAATTCTGATGACAGTTCGCCATAACTTCTCACCCAACCAGCTGTGTTCGATTAGAGAGCCTTTACAAGGTTAATGTACCTCTATGGTACTCCTTTCAGTGACAAACACGGTCATAGAACCTCACTATCAACAGAGTCAAATTCCACCTTAAGGTCGAGAAATACTACGATTGTGGGGCATCAGTTATTAATAATTTTTAATCAGCTGATTATAGCGTACAAGTTATCTATTACTAAACTTCATGTAAAATACATAGAGCTTTATTTTAATTCCGGTTAACTGACTGAGGGGCGTTGGTACACCGTAATTCTACCACTATATGTACAGGAATGATGGGAAAGATTCAGTTGACGAGTGCTTTTGGTAATGATGTGTTCTGCTAGGTGGAACATTACCGAATTATTATACAAAAGGTGCACGATGAGCTATGATTAGTACGAGCAGCGATACTGCTCTTTAGTTGGCATATGGACTCCAGATGAATGAACAACAACCAAGTGACTAAGTGACCATGTGAGAACGCCACGAACACAAATTAACTTTTACCACTCAAGTTTACTTTTATTAATATGAACAGATATTTAGATCTAATAACCAACCTTAAGATTTGATGGAAAAAGTATGGCAGTAGAAGTTGCTTCGTACAAAATACTAGTATCAAAACAATAAACTGGTAACAATTTGTCGGAAAGTTTTAACTGTTAATTTAAAACTAAGATTAAATCTTGATTGGTTTTTCTAATGACAGGCAGTTGTATTACAACCAAGGTTTTAGCATATATATTAAAGTAAGCATGTATGTATACGTACATGCTTACCCAACTACGCAGTGGGATTCAATTATATAGAAAAACCCTACCGTAAATCTGTGTAATACATGCAAAATAAAATTATTCGAAACAAAGTCCTAGAGCAATCCATCGAAGTTGTATAGTATAGGACCCACTGACCTTCAAAACAACATATGATCCAACCACCCGTGTAGTGCGAAATTCGGAAGTGTGACTAGCATACTTTCAAGCTTCAAACACCAGAGGAAAATAATCTCTCTCTATGAACGGCTTGTAACCTTTCAATATTAATTATAAACATAGTTAATTCGCAAGACAAACTACTAGCTTAGTGTGGCGGGTCAAGAATCTTGGTCAGATCATGTATCAATTTGCAACAAGACTCGTCACATGCTTTTACTAGACAGGTTATCACTCTTATATCATATTAACTCTCTTAACAAAGAAAAATGTCTTCCTTTGAGGGATCTTCAAAATAGGAGAGTTTCATCAGAAAAGACTGGAACACCAGTGTTAGAAAGTTTTTACGTTGTAGGGCCAGTGAAATTTCACTGAGCCCTAGCCAAATCATCCGTCAGTCGGGTCATTGAATATTATAGGTCAACTTGGGCGCGTTCATCTCGGACTCGGCAAGCCAGTTGAATGTCCTTTGGCATAATAATTACACGTTTGGCATGTATGGCACACAAATGAGTGTCTTCGAAAAAGCCAGGAAGGCAGGCTTCGCTTCCTTCTTGAAGGGCAGAAACTGCAAAGCTTCGGAAACGAAGGTCAGTCTTGAAGTCTTGCGCGATCTCCCGGAACAAAACTGGGAGGGCAGTTCGCGTATCAGTAGCTCGGTGGACTTTTGATAACGACGAATTTCACATAGGGCATCTGTTCCAGGGCGATAACGATGAGTTTTCTTAACGTCACATAGAGCTGGCGAACTCTTTCGTGCCGCTTTGGTAGCCAAGTGCTTTCCTGGAGCCTTCTCACCTGTACTCTTACGGGCAGTCTGCTTCGTACGTGCTACTGGTGAGCTGAATGCAATTCTGTACACTACATGATAACATATAAGTCTGTTACTTGCTCTAAGGCCAATGTAGTTACATTCTTTATATTCTGATACAACTTTTAGTGTCATCAATTTTTTTTCAAATTTATGTAACTCTAATTCCATTCAGGGTTGTGGAGACAGATTGACTCGGACTTGGCTATCCATCCATCCCTGTTTTCTGAATCACTGCTATATGTATATTTATCGTATAACTATTAGATATCTGTATTGTCATATTTCTATATGACCCTTTTGTAAGCTTCCAGTAGACTCAACTGATACGCATTTTGGTAACTTTAACCATTACTTATTAGTTACATTCTACTTGGAGATTCTAAAATGAAGTGGTTTGGAACGAAGAATAACTGCTGCGGTTAGTCTGAACACGTGTGCTCCTGTACAGTCAACGTCATAGACAAGGCGGTTTTGTTAGTTATATTGTACATAATAATATAAATTAAAGTGCAAATTACTGTCTAACAAAGATTATCGCTCAGCTATTGAACCAATATTGTAGGCCAGTCAGAAGTGACCCAAGGGACAAGTGCATCTCTTTGGCTAAGAAACGGATCAATATCTAATGAGTTAGTATGATATATACAAAAATAAGTATTTGTGCATATTATCTGGTAGCCCAATACACTTTTCCGCCCATTCAATCAATCCAACATCCGCCATGTCCAACACGTCGAGTAAAAGAATGTAGATGTAGTTTTGGAAAACAGTACTTCAATGAGCTAAAACAACGATAAAAAACAAATTAAGCCATCTTAACCAGTACCAAAAACTCAATTGAGTGAATGGCTGAAGGGATAAAAATAAGTAATTTGCGAAAATATAAAGGCAGAGGGATTTCCATATACACTAATACACCACTTCCAAAAAGCGTCTTACAGTGCTTTCTATGCCCTCCTCTGTTTATGGTTCGATTGTGATCGAAATGTGACGCCTTATATGGTGTTCTGTATCATCAAGCAATCTAACCATATGGTTGCATGATCCCATATCTATAAGTGAATAGGGTACATCAGAGAACTAATCTGCCTCCTATCGGCGTCTGATTTCCTGTCGGGTAAGAAATGACCTCGAGGACCTATAGGGGTAAAGGGTTTGGTTGAATTTATCACGTAGATTTCGTAAAGGGCAACTCTCTAAGCCTTTGACCTAGTGGTCTAATCGAAAAGACAGCGGATTAACGTTAGATGAAGTACCATGCAAATGGTGGCTAACAATGGGTTCGTACATCATTTGTTTCCTTGAGGTCTTTTAGCCCATATGCACCATTGGTTTGAAATCAGGTTTCCCAACTGTCCTAGGTGGATGCTCCATATCCACCAACCAGGTTATAGTGCCGAACATTCGCTTTTCGTCCTCCCAATTTCACAAAAAAAATTTCCGCCGTGAGAACGATTTCCCTGATATTGGCTGTATATCTTGACAAACGGCTGTTCACCTTTAACTTACCTCTTTGATTTGCCAATGGTATATTAGGCTGCATACGCATAATATCCCAAATGGATAAATCTATGTTCGAGCATTAATCAGCCTTAAAACAGATGGTGAGATGGTGGAGATTTGTGGCTCAGGTGGATGGATTAGAAGTTTTGTTCTCTGATCTGGATGGTTTGGTCGTGGAGCTTACATCGTTCTTCTGAACGACGTCATCAGCGAAAACTTCAGGTAGAAGTGAAGTGTTCGAATTTCTTCACATTTTGTCCACAGTTTGTCCTGTAGACCTCGATGTTGACTGGTTCATTTTGACCTGAAGCCTATCATTGTTTACTTTTTTGTTTCGGTTGTATCTCTCGTTGGTTTGATTTTTGTTCCTATGTTTGTCCATAATCAGATCGACTTCGATATGCTCGTTGATTGACCTGAGTGCTGGACTTCTGAAGATTTCCTGGTGTTTTTGGAGTTGCCTCTATTTAAAATTTCGACATTTTCTCTGTCGAATGTATGTAGAATTATGGTCTACCATTATATTAGTACTGCTCTAATAATAGACCTAACCCCAAAATTGTAGATTCGTCATGATATAACTGCCTAATCTGTAAGATCTTACGTGGAAGTCACAACATCGACTACACCAACTCACTGTATCGTATCAATTACCAATACATGGTGAGGAATAAGGTTAGGCTAGAGAAAGAACAATATATTTAATATGAATAGAAGATATACAGAACATTGAGATGGACCACGCCTGCATGGTCGAGCCATGCCACTCGATCAACTCCAGTCCATTCAATTCATTGTTCGCGCCTTCTCCATTCTTAGGTATTTATCCGCGTTAAATATTGAATATCTATTTTCTGAGTAGTCTCGTGTTCAGCTTTGTGGATTGTGTGGCTATTGTCCAATGACACTACGCTGCTTTCCCACCAGAATCAACGTGATGTTGGTTCTATACCAAATTGGATGGAATCGTCGCGCGCCGGAGGTTACCAAGGATAATAAGAATCCTCCGGGTATTGGTAAGCTGAAAGATAAATCAAAAAGAAAGCGGCAGCATCTGGTCGGGAAATACATGTAATAATTTTAAAATATCTGCCTTCATGCTTAACATGCTTGAAATGAAAATTTGGGTGAAGATTATTTGAGCTATAAAAAATGGGATTACAATAATAATAATAATAATAATAATAATAATAATAATAAAACGATGCGTGTTAATAACTTGACTTATAGGCAGTAATTATTTTGTGTTTAGAAATATTAAAGTAATGAATATTGTAGAAATGTTAATATTGGTATTAGTTTTGGTTTAAACTATGAAATCAAATAACGATTATGCCGGTAAGTTGTCCATATGAGTTGAGTTCCAATTGCATCTGTATTAGTAGGCTAACTGAAGGAACAAAAGTATACCGTGGAGAAGAATTCCAACTAGTGTTCCAGTTAGTTTGATACGGTTTATTTAGTTACGGGGAGATTTTCTCAACCTCATTTTTACTTGACCGTGATAGAATTTAGTAATACTACTAATACACATGAATGGTTATCAAAATAAAATTTAAATACATGAGTGATAATTATATGAATTTTGGACAGATAGCTAGGAACAAATCGTTAAACATGAGTGTATTCGTAAGAGACATGCTCTAGACTCAATGTTCTGATCTGCGATAGACTGTTTATTTATATTGATACCGCTGATGGGCATACAAGTTAGTTGCACGTATGCGGGCAGAATACGATTTAAATGAGATATGGTGATTATAAGTTACTGAAATCAGTTAAGCCTGTGTCACATTACTAAGTGATGTGGTGCTGTAAGATGTACTCGGCCAAATACGTTTTTACAAGATGATTAACCGTGAGTGATGCTCATGTGATTATCAGGGAGTACATAAGTTGTAACCAAGGGGAGTACACTCCCAACTCATGTCTATGATAATGGCTTGAACCTTAGTCAGTGTTGGGGTAAATTCGACATTGATGTTTTCAGTTTGCAGGAGATTTGCTCGACTGCTTATACTGATTATTTGCATGCATGATTGTGTCGCTAAACCATCAATTAGACTGACAAGGTTTTGAGATATTTACTGAATGAGCAACTGAGAGAGAAACATACTGTAATCATCTGTGAGGGATGAAGATACCAAGAAAACAACACCATTTAATGGTAATTATAAGTCAATTTGTTGACTGATTTTGGTAATAGTTTCATCAATCTTATCAATGATAGTACGTGATTGTCAAGTCATGACAATGCTTTATGACGATATCCTGAAACTATTAAATTTAACTAGTTATAGTGTTGATTGAAGATTAGTCAGTGGAAAAATAGGTATTGTTGCTTTAGGTGATTCAAAATCATCAGAAATTTACAACGTTAAAGAATCCAAGACGCCTAATTTAATTATAAATTTTAATTCAGAAAGATTCGTTTAGTGTTAATTCTAGTAGGCTACGGAGTTTTGATTTTAAACGTTTGTTTAGCCAACAGCTACTTGGGGATTTAGTTATTTTACCAGTGCAGTTGATAGTACCCAAATTTTTAATCGAATTATCTAAACTATGTCTGCATTTTAAACTGCTAATATGATAAACCAGTCCATAAACCCAAATACGATTAGCAAGAACAGCTATGATGGGTTTATTGATAAATGTTAAAGGCGATTCAGATGATTCCTAAATTTAGAAGACATGAAGATATAGTGTATGTGCGGGCCGGGT